GTGTTTTCATATACAATTTGAAATATTTTCATCAAACTGGTTAACATAGCCTTTATGTCATTTTCTTAGTTATTGTGTTAAGACCATTTATATTCTACTTTTAAAAAGATTCACTTGTACCCTTGTGAGATAAACCATAGAGGTGATCCCTCCAATTACCCTCCCTCCACCCATCCATCCCCCACCCCTCCCCATATTCTTAGGCTATAATTAGGTTACAGCTTTCATATGAAAGCTATAAATTAGTTTCATAGTAGGGCTGTATACATTGGATACTTTTTCTTCCATTCTTGTGAAACTTTGCTAAAAAGAACATTTTCCAGCTCCATCCACGTAAACATGAAGAAGGTAAAGTCTCCATCTTTCTTTATGGCTGTGTAGTATTCCATGGTGTACATATACCACAATTTATTGATCCCTTTGTGGATCCAAGTTGGGGTTCTTAAGACCTTGTTTAGTTCAGTTAATTTTTTTTTTTTTTTTTTTTGAGACAGAGCCTCAAGCTGTCCCCCTGGGTAGAGTGCCGTGGCATTACAGCTCACAGCAACCTCCAACTCCTGGGCTCAAGCGAGTCTCCTGCCTCCGCCTCCCAAGTAGCTGGGACCACAGGCGCCCGCCACAACGCCCGGCTATTTTTTGGTTACAGCCATCATTGTTGTTTGGCAGGTCCGGGCTGGGGATTCGAACCCGCCACCTTAGGTGTACGTGGCTGGCGCCTTAGCCGGTTGAGCTATAGGCGCCGAGCCTAGTTCAGTTAATTTACTAAGAAGCTCACAAACCTCAGGGAAACGTGTTTACTGGTTTATTATAAAGGACATTACAAGGATACAGATGAAGAGATGCATAGGGTGAGGTACGGGGGAGGGCAGGGAGCCCCCACACCCTCTCCGGACCACCCTCCAGGAAGTTCACGTGTTCAGCTGTCTGGAAGCTCTCTGAGCCCTGTTCTCTTGAGCCTTTGAGCCTTTTGTGGAGACTTCATGGGATAGGTATGAATGACAACTATGTAGAAATGTGGTTGGACAAAAAGAGCATGAGCTGACAGAGTGGGGAAACCCAGCCAGGCCTGTCTATTCAGGTTCTTGACCTGTCTGTAGCATTTCTGCCTCCATGGTCTGAAGCCAGACTAACAATGCGGGTGTGTATGTGTGTGTGTCTTATATCCTACGATTCCGTAAGGGAGGTTGGAGCATCCTTCCTAGCCAGCACCAAGGCAGAAAGCTGTGAAAGATCCTTGTCTTGGGGAGAAAAGAGCAGGTAAAAGGAGGGCAGAAGGTCAGAGAGAGAAATTCTGTTTTCACAGGGCTTCTTCTGAAGCCTAAAATGCCCCAGTGTTATAACATGGGTGTATGGGCCTTGTGAGTCAGGAAAAGTGGATGAAAACCAGCTTGTGTGTATATCAGGGTATCACAGACGGTGAACTTGGTTATTTTCACCATGTCTGATGTTGATGTAGTCAGTGCTTTTTCTGTTGTCTGTTTCTAAGTATTCTTGGTTTTCTCGTGTGCTTATATTTGAATACCTGCTGGTCATTGTGTTTTACAAGTTATTTGTTAGAGTGCCCCCTAAGTCCTCAGATGAACCTCTGGAGAGGTCTGTGTCTGCTTTTTGAGATACAAAATGCAGTTCCAGTCTGGGACCTTCATCTCCAGGCCAGCTGACAGTGGAAGTTCTCTGACTCACCCCATGTGAGGCTCAAGGGGTTGAGCCTCACTTGATGATGGCCTGGTTTATGCCACTATTTTTCAGGATGGGTCTATTTTTTAATTTCCTTTTTTTTCTGTTTGATTTAGAACCATCTTGGCCTTCTCTGTAGTCCTAACAGTTTGGGGACAGGCAGTTTCGATGCCTCTTACTCTTCTGAGAGGGAAGCCTTTTGGGGCACCATCTAGATATGAGGACAGCCTCCTGTCAGACCCAGGGGCTTCAGTCCTGGCTCCCTTGTTCCCTTCTGTGAGGCTATAGAACCAAGTCTAAGTTTGTATGAAGGGCAGTTGGCTCTTACTTCCCTAGGGATCCCCTAAGATTGGTCCAGAGGGTCCTGCTCTCTTTTAAAGGTACTTTCCATCCCCTGTTCACTCCAGAAGTGTGTACTGTATGCAGGATTTTTCTTTTCCTTTCCCCTTCTTGTTTTTCCTTTCTCTCCCTCCCTCCTTTATTTTCCCCTTCTCTCTTTCCCTCCTTCCCAGTTCTTTTTTTTTTTTTTTTTAGACAGAGCCTCAAGCTGTCCCCCTGGGCAGAGTGCCGTGGCATTACAGCTCACAGCAACCTCCAACTCCTGGGCTCAAGCGAATCTCCTGCCTCCGCCTCCCAAGTAGCTGGGACCACAGGCGCCCACCACAACGCCCGGCTATTTTTTGGTTGCAGCCGTCATTGTTGTTTGGCGGGTCCGGGCTGGGGATTCGAACCCGCCACCTTAGGTGTACGTGGCTGGCGCCTTAGCCGGTTGAGCCATAGGAGCCGAGCCATCCTTCCCAGTTCTTAATAATCTAGTCCACTAATCCTAGAAACAGGAGATCTACAAATCAATTTAGAAATTGTGAATTATTAACAACTGAGTATAAGTCTTAAAATGTGCATTGCCTTTGTACTGGTCCAATTTGTGTTGTTAGAGAACACCTGAGACTGGGTAATTCATCAGGAAAAGAGGCTGACTTGGCTCATGGTTCTGCAGACTGTACAAGGATGGTGCCACATCTGCTCCTGGTGAGGGCTTCAGGGAGCTTCCAATTAGGGGAAAGGTGAAGGGGGAGCAGGCGTGTCACACGGTGAGAGAGGGAGCCAGAGAGGGCTGATGCTCTTTAAACAACCAGTTCTTATGTGAGTGAACAGTAAAGCGAGAACTCTCTGATTCACACAGGAATCCAGGAGGGATCCTCCCCCAGGACCAAAATACTTCCCACCAGATCCCACTTCCAGCACTGGGAATCAGATTTCAACGTGAGATGGAGGAGATATATATCTAAACTGTAACAGACTTTTAAAAAATTTGTTGTCAAGGTAGATGAACAGAGATCATAAGGTCAATATAAAATTACGTTGTTTAGATGTTTGTAGTAAAAAGATCCCTAAAAATGACCTCCAATTATAAAAACTTCCCAAAAAATGAGTTAATGGAATGATTAGCCTAACTTAATAGAAGTTGGGGGTGCCTCTTGCCTGTAATCCTAGCACTTTAGGAGGCCGAGGAAGAGGATTGCTTGAGGGCAGGTGTTTGAGACCAGCCTGAGCAAGAGCAAGAAAGACCGTGTCTCTACTAAAAAGAGAAAAACTGAGGCAAGAGGATTGCTTGAGCCCAAGAGTTTGAGTTTGCTCTGAGCTATGATGATGACTCATTAAATTTACCATCAAGACACTTTCTGAAACAAGAATTCTAACTGAAACTGGCTTAATCCCCAAAGGGTATTTATTGGCTCAAATTGAAAGTCTTGAAATAGATAGCTTCCGAAACAGCTAGATCCATCCAGAAACTCCAACATTGTCACGAGACTTAGTGTCTATATTCTGTCTGATTTTCTGTGTTAGCTCCAGTCTCTGTGTTTTATGAACTCCACACTCACAGTCTATGGTCTCCAAACTTTGTTGATTAAATGTCCAACAGCAAAACCTGAGCATACTATTCCCAATGTGTATATATTTATCAATAATATGCTATTATATACTGCTCTTATGTGTACTATACATCACATATATTATATGGTTACATTATTACGTTGTATATATTCTATAAGTTACATTGTTATCTGCATATGATATGTATATTCCTTGTTATATTTATTATTAGTAGAGTTGAGTTTTTTTAGTTTGTTTTAAAATTATTTTTTAATATCAAGGGGATACAAATGTTTTTATCGTGTAGATATCTTTGATAATTCTTAACTCAAGGCTATTAGTATACCCATCACCTGAATAGTGTTCATTAGAGGCACAGTTTTTCAGTTTGAAAGATAAAGAATAAAACAGACGCAGTAATAGGTTTTACACTCCCGATGGGCTGCCTTGCACACCCCACTTTGGGGACTATTCACTGGAAAGGCTGCATTTCTCCATTCAGCTATAGTAGCAATCCCATGACGACATCTTATCGCTTCTTTTTGGTCTTGCTTAGGATACGTGCCCATTCCTGGGTCCAGAGTCCTTGAAATAGTACAAGCAAAATCTTACTAATATAAAGTGACAAATATCTGGTTGGGCATAAATAGTTTACTTGAACTTTAAAGCAATTTATATTCTGGAACCTTATAACCACTGCTGTTTTTTCCCAAAAGGGAGGACATGATCCTTCTCTCAGTCTAGAGTACAGAACAAAGGTCCTTTGCTTCCACGAGGATCTAACAACAACTCTATTTCAGGGGTGTCCAACCTTTGGCCCCACACTGATTTTGTGAGGACTTTTTTTTTTTTTTGCCTTTCTGTGGTGTCAGATATTATGAAAAGTATGCATGAACCTATTTTTTTTTTTTTGTTTTGTGCTAATGCTTTCATTAGTGTTTATGTCTTTAATGTGTGACCTAAGACAATGCTTATTCTTCCAATGTGCAGCAGAGGGGGAAAAAGGTTGGACACCCCTGCTTAGTCTCTACTAAATTTCATTAATTTCACATGTAGAGTATCATGAAAGCATCCCATCCAAAAGTCTATACATGTATTCACACCCAACTCACACAGCTCACATAAGCACAACTCACACAGCCACATGCACACTTTTCCTGAAATAACTTCAGTTACAGATGAGCGCTTTATATTAAGATGCGGGAAGGGATGAATCTTGCAAATAAGATTCTATTTTTATCATCCTGAAGAACGGCCATTTTGCACCAGAAGAGTGTCTAAGTGGAGAAGAAAGGGATAGGGGTAGATTTCTAAACAGAAAAGGAGTTCCCTGGTTGGGGAGAGTTTGTTTGTGTGACTCGGAAAAGCGTGAGCGCGGCAAGTATTTTTCAGAAACTTTCAGAGGGACGGCCTGTTCTGGGGATTTAAAAACAAATCTTCTGTGACAGAAATGCAATGGCGCCTCTTGATTCGGAGGTGAAAGAAGAATGTCTGAGGAAAGACCTGAAGTTTTACTTCATGAACCCTTGTGAAAAATACCGAGCCAGACGCCAGATCCCGTGGAAACTGGGTTTGCAGATTTTGAAGATAGTCATGGTCACGGCACAGGTAATTGACGATCATCTCCTCCAGTTTCTTCCTTACCCCAAGATAACACTTCCTTCACATAGGCTGTACTTGACTTTTGTTCTGAAAAGTCCACACTCAAGTTCGTAAAACTATAAAGTGATGTGGACTCTGAAGGGCAGACGATAGGGTGAAGTTCAGTGAAGAAGATGTCTTTATTTTAGTACATTATCACCAGGTCATCTCTCTGTAAATACCAGATAAAGGTGGATCTGTATTGGGGCATTTCTGTATCTGAGTGAGGCACAAAGGCTGGCCAAGACTGTAAATCCAAAGTGATTTGTGTTCTTGTTATCTCTCTCTTTATTCAAATACTCCTTATTTAAATATACTTTTGCAATAGCTTTTTTTTTTTTCTATCTTCAGACTTATCACCAGTTTCCTTTTATCAGCAGCAGATGTTCTAAGTACTAACCCCAGGTGCTACTGGGAGTGTCCAAAACCACCTTTGGACCTTTTGTTCATATTGTCTATACTTTGTCACCAGTATCAAAACAGTCATCGGCGTTGCCATCCAGTTTGGGGCCTGTGGCATTGAGCCAGTTTTAAGGGGGCTTCTCTGTAGGTTACTACATTTGACACTTGTGCCCTTTTTAACCAACTTGGGATATTTGGCTCCTTGGCAAATAATCATTTGGCTACCATTGTAGAAGTGTATAAATGCCTATTTATAGAACATAAAAATAAACACTTAAGGGCGGTGCCTGTGGCTCAAGGAGTAGGGTGCCGGCCCCATATGCTGGAGGTGGTGGGTTCAAACCTTGCCCTGGCCAAAAATAAATAAATAAATAAATAAACACTTAAAAAAAAAAAAAAACTCTACATAGTTCTAGAAATGAGAGTTCCTACCAAACTGAAGTTGCTTCTTTAATCTCCATTTATACAAGAGGGCTTTTCAGTCTGGGCGCAGTGGATCACACCTGTAATCCCAGCACTCTGGGAGGTCCAGGCAGATGGATTGCTTAAGCTCTGGAGTTCTAGACTAGCCTGAGTGAGAGCAAGACCCCGTCTCTACTAAAAATAGACAAACTAGCTAGGCATCGTGGTGGGCGCCTATAGTCCTAGCTACCCAGGAGAAAGGCCAAGGCAAGAGGATCACTTGAGCCCAAGAGTTTGAGGTTGCTATAAGCTATGACACCATGGCACTCTACCTAGAGTGACAGAGTCAGGCTCTGTCTTAAAAGAAAAGGGGGGGAGGTCCTGGGGGGGTGCCTCTTGCCTGTAATCCTATCACTCTGGGAGGCCGAGCGGGTGGATTGCTTGAGCTCAGGTGTTTGAGACCAGCCTGAGCAGGAGGAAGACTCTGTCTTTACTAAAAATAGAAAAATCAAGGCAAGAGGATTGCTTAAGCTTAAAGTTTGAGTTTGCTATGAACAATGATGATGCCAGGACACTATACCCAGGGTGACAAAGCAAGACTGTGTCTCAAAACAAACAAACAAACAAAACATGAAGGGGGCTTTTGGTTGTATGACATATGGTGTCTACCAGCTCACTGAGTTTTAGTGAAAGACTTCCAAAGAAACGAGGTTGAGATACAGGGACACTGTTAAACGTATGTGCCTGCTGTTAGCTTTTTTCATTCAAAGTTTTAGATTTAGCAACCAATAACTTAGGTGTATTGTTAGAATTACTTGGAAGGAGAAGAAATAATACCCTCTTTTGTCATTTAGTTCATTTTCATTGTTTCCCGATTTCTTCTCTCGCTAAGCCAGCTTCTATTTCAACCTTTTGATTTACTAACATTATTAAAATTCTAACTTACCCAGGCACAGAACATCATTGCCAACCTTGACTTACCTTCTTTGATCTGAAAAACTGCATCTACTTTTGTTTTTCCATATTTCCCATCTTCTCACTAGCACAGACTCTATATCTTTACTTAATTAAAAGTATGTATTTTTCGCTTGGTGCCCTTAGCTTAGCAGTTAGGGTTAGCTCATGCACCAGGGCTGGTTTGAACATGGCCCCAGACTGCTAAACAAACAAACAAACAAACAAATAGCCGGGTGTTGTGGCAGGCACCTGCAGTCCCAGCTACAAGGGAGGCCGAGGCAAGAGAATCTCTTGAGCCCAAGAGTTTGAGGTTGCTGTAAGCTGTGACGCACGGCTCTCTACAGAGAGCAGACACTGAGACAGTGTCTGAGCAGACACTGAGCAGACTTTTGAGACAGAGTGAGACACTGTCTCAAAAAAGAAAAAAGTATTTATTTTCAGATATATTTCTGGGAACCTATAATTTACTTTTCATGTGGATATATGCTGTCCTCCCTAATAAATTAGGAGGGACTAAACTGTTTTTCCCCCGTAGTATCATTCTAATTAATTTGGCATTTGGGTGATAACTGATTAGAGCAGATTCTTGAACACCTCCCTTCCATCAAAGCCCCCTTTCCCCTTCTCTTCTCTTTCCTTTAGTGCGACATTCCCAAGTCTAACGGGATGGGTGGCCTTTTATCAAGGTTGATGGAAATGAAACTTGAAACATTCTTACTCCTCATCCTGCAGTAACTTATAAACTCAAGGGCACTGTCTACATTCTTTGGCCCGTTCTACTCTTTCCCTCCCGTGTTCTGTGTACATAATTAGAGTGGTATCATGTTTTTACCTGGTACAGAATATTTTCTCCTACATGATTTCACAATAAGGTCTTAAATTCACAATCTTTTACAGACTACACTTAATGAGCATTTTTTTTTTGGTTTTATATTACATTCTCAGTACATTTTAAGATCTAGATAGGGAGACCAAGATACATTTTTGTTGTCAACTCCTTTTAAAAAATAAAGCCATTCAACCAATACCATCAGTCCTTACTGTTGCTGAGCAGGGAGTGTCTGATTCCGTGACAGAAAGAAAGGGATTTCCTAGTCAGGATTTGCTTTCTTTAAGGGATACTTTGAAACTCCCAGCCCTTCTGTGATGCTGAGCCATATATGTGGACCTTGGCTCTTCTATGAACCATTGAATGGAGGAAATTTCTTGCTCCTGATGTCAAATGGGAGTGTTTCCGAGCAGAGATTACAACTCTGTGATCTCACATTCCCCAAGTAGAGTTGACGAGATTCAAGTTTAAATAAGGTGATGCCGTCAAATATTAGCAGATTGTATGACACATTCTTGGTAAATCTGTCCATTCCCTATTCAAAATACTTTGTGTTTCTTTAGCTTCACTATGAGTGTGGGAGTAAATCTAGAGTTAAGCTGGCAGCATTTCGGTTTAAGAGGTACTGTGGTCATGCGGTTGAGAGAAGGTGCCGGTTCTAGGGTTACACAGACCTGGGTTCAGATCCTTGCTCCAACACTTTATAGATGTCCCTACTTTGATAAATTAGTTGACTTCTGATCGTCTATATATAACAGGGGGCCACATCTACCAACTGATTCAGTATGGGACTCTGACAGTGTGATGGGGACTATTTCATTTTCTGAGCAGGGAAAAAAGAAAAATAAAAGCCCTGTTTTTGTGGAGTCCCCTTTACCTGCTCTTTCATAGGGGTTTAGGGAATTAAATGAACAATAATTATTAAAAATTTTCAGCTAAGTGCCTGGTACTCAATAGATAAGAGTTGTCATTCAACACCATGGGGTCTTGATCTTGCCAGCACTGTATCCCAGCTTTGCACAGAGTAGGCACTCAGCAAACTCTGGTTGAAGAACTTACTTCATGTGTGCAGGTACTGGGTTTCTTTCTTCTCCATATGTGTGTCATTATTTTTAATAAAATCTTGAAATAGTTATGTGGTTCTCTAGTTTAGTTTTTTAGCCTTCAAAAAGCAACATAACCCTTTCTGATTTCTCCTGCGAGCACAACTGACAGACATCACATGTTTGGAAGAACCTGGACCCTTGTGTTGATTCATTGCAGCCCAGGTTGGATGATGTGGGGCTTCTTATCTGGTGCCTTCCTTAGAATAGCTGCATCTGAGCAGTTGCTGGGTCTAAGCAGATGCTGGCTCTTTTGACTCGTTATCTGGGGAATGTGACATGGTGAGATTCACATGCTAAAGGGTGATATCTATGTATATTCTCAAACTGTAGTTGATTTTCATAATTCTAAAAAGCTGGCATTTAGACTGTTTTTATAAGAAGTGTCCCAGAGACAACTTTTTCAGTGGAAGGAAATTGTGTAGCATAATAAAAATGAAGACTGGCTTTTATTCTAGTTAGGTGAACTTGGCAGTTTATTTTATTTTATTTTATTGAGATATAGTCTCACTATGTCACCCTGGGTAGAGTGCTATTGCATCATAGCTCACAGCAACCTTGAATCTTGGGCTTAAGTGATTCTCTTGCCTCAGCCTCCCAAGTAGCTGGGACTACAGGCCCCTGCCACAATGCCTGGCTATTTGTTGTTGTTGTTGCAGTTGTCATTGTTGTCTAACTGGCCCAGACTGGGTTCGAACCATCCAGTCTTGGTGTATGTGGCTGGTGCTGTAACCACTGTGCAAGGGGCACTGAGCCATACTGTCTCGACTTTGGCAGTTTAATAAGGCTAAATCTCAGTTTCTACGTACATGAAATGGGGATAATAGTAACATTTTCATAGGGTGGTTGTAGGGTAAAGGAGATAATATGTGTAAAGCATTAGTAGTACAGCACTTAGCATATAATTGCTGAAAAATGGTGGCTGTTATTTTTATTTAGTCTTTTAAGAAACATCAGACAAAATGTAAAAGCTAAAAAATATAAACCATTAAAAAATCCTTATGCCAGTTTGCGTATGTAAGTTAACAGTTTTATCTGAATTGCTCATAATCCACATCTTGTATATTATCGTTCAGAGATAGCATATTGAACCCTGGCGTGACAACAAATGACAGAACTGTCCGGGTCACCTAGATAAACTCGCTAATTTCCCACATGAAGACACAGTCCCAGAAAGCTTTGGTGACTTAGCTGAGTGAGAACTTGGACAAACTTTCCAGAACCTCCTTGTTTTATAAGGCAGCTGGGGAGCTGGGAAAGGTGTGTGAGGCTTATAGAATTTTGATTTCACTGTTACTACAGCCTGTGTGTGTATGTGAGAGAGACTGAGAGAGGGGATGAGAATGAGGGTATGCATACACGAGAAAGTGGGTACAGAGAGAGAGGGGGAGAGACGGGGAGAGAGAGAGAGAGAGGGAGAGAGAGCATCTATCTGTGTTGTTCCTGTATTTTTTGTGAAATTTGGTGCTGGCTAGTTTCTCCACTCATTGAGTTCCAAGAAGAACTGGTGATGTCACCCCTCAGGCACCTTGTGTCACAATACAGCACAGGGGGAATCAGTAGTGTTTGATCAGGAACAGATGGGGGCTTGGTGACAGTGAATGCCGAGACATCTTATAGGCAAAGCAGCATTGTTATTCTTTCAAATGCTTTGAGACTGTAGATCTTAGTTGGAGAAATTCTTATGTGTAAGTCTCATGTACGAATTCTTGCAAAGCTGGATTAATTAAATTCCTTTGAGAATTATTACCTCCTAGTTGGAATAAGTATTTATGTAGGCTACGTTTCAATAACTTTTTTTTTTTTTTGAGACAGAGCCTCAAGCTGTCCTCCTGGGTAGAGTGCTGTGGCATCACAGCTCACAGCAACCTCCAACTCCTGGGCTCAAGCAAGTCTCCTGCCTCCGCCTCCCAAGTAGCTGGGACCACAGGTGCCCACCGCAATGCCTGGCTATTTTTTTTTGTTGCAGCCATCATTGTTGTTTGGCGGGCCCCGGCTAGATTCAAACTCACCACCTTAGGTGTATGTAGCTGGCGCCTTAGCCACTTGAGCCACAGGCGCCGAGCCTCAACAACATTTTTAAAAGCCACATGCAAAACATAGTGTGATTTTAAAAACACATGCAATTTCTAAACAGTAAATCAATAAAAATGAGTTATTGCTTTATTTACTAAGTAATCAAATATGAAAACAATTATTTGAAATCCAAGGATAAAAAAATGGATTCAGATTTAACTGATTTGGATCCTTAGCGGTAGGATCCTTTGTCATTGGAAGTGATAATCTCTTTTAATTTTATACTACTTTGCTGATGGAGTTTACTGAAGCTATTGTTTGGGACTTGTGTGTTGACATTGATGCTATTTATATAAATCCCCCAATTGATCTTTTGCTTCTGCTAGTTTATAGGTGAGGGTATAGGTCACTTGCCTTCTCTGGTAAATGGTAATATTGATGTGCTCCTGTTTGATTTTCTTTTCCAGCTTGTTCGTTTTGGTTTAAGTAACCAGCTGGTAGTTGCTTTCAAAGAAGATAACACGGTCGCTTTTAAGCACTTGTTTTTGAAAGGATATTCTGGCGTAGATGAAGATGACTACAGCAGCAGTGTGTATACTCAAGAGGACGCCTATGACAGCATCTTTTTTGCTATTCATCAGGCAAGTATTCTGTAGTTGCAAATGACCTATACTTTAAGAATATATTGAGGGCGGCGCCTGTGGCTCAAAGGAGTAGGGCACTGGCCCCATATGCCAGAGGTGGCAGGTTCAAACCCAGCCCTGGCCAAAAATGCAAAAAAAAAAAAAAAAAAATATATATATATATTAATATATAGCTTACTTTAGCAAACACACACAAAGTACACATCTATTAAAACGTTCTCATGTGAATTTTGCACAATTTGCCAAAAATATATGTGTTGCTATTTCTGAAGCTGCATTTCCACACAATAGCGTTTGCCTATTTTGAATTTTTCTTTAAGCTTTATCTTTTTTATCTCTTCCCACCCACTACTTTGGAAAGATTACCCCAAATCAAATAGCCAGGAGTAGATCTGTCATTAGGAAATTTGATGAAGACTTGATACGAAATCTAAGACTCGATGGTCTCCGTTTTGATGTCTAGCATTTAGCAGGCACTATTTATTATAGATGGGGATATAGCCGTGAACAAAACAGATAAAAACTGTGCCCCTAGAGAGTTTAATTCTAGGGGGGAGAGATAGGCAAACAAAAAGAAGCAAAATGTATCATATTAAAAGCCAGCTCCCTGAAAACACGATCCCAAAATTCATTTGATGAGCAAAGCTGAGCGAATTGCTTACAGCCATAAGAGAGATGCTACCTGATCATTCTCAGTAGCGCCTGGGGGAGAGAGGGAGTTCATCAGTGTGGCAGGAGCTTGAGTAGAATGAGGTTAGATCAGGGCAGAATAGTTTAGGATCCCTTGTGGGGGCAAGTTTCAAAGAAAAGTCTTGGAGTTGTTACCACACTAAATCTCCAAATTGGTGTCTATATAAATAAGGTTTTGGGGGATGTTCCTGAAATAAATAGTACAGTTATTTGCAACTTTTATGTTCTAGAGAAAAAGCTTCTTGGGATAGTAAAGTCAGATTAATGAAGATGGGGCTAGTAAGCCGGGTTAGTGCAGGTGGTTAAACAGTAAAGCGGTGTCAGTGTCAGTGTCAGCTAATGTAAGGTCCTGTAGGTTAGTTGTGCTGATGCAGGTTCTGGGGGAAGGGTGCACGGCTTGGGCTAAAGAAGGGGGTAACTGTTAAAGAATCAAGCAGGAAAGGAGGTGGAGAGTCCCCGAAGGAGTGTGAACCGAGCAGGGGGATACCTGGGCTTCAGGCAGAGGGAACAGAAAAGGCCAGAGGCCCAAGTGTGCCTGGCCACCTCCAGGAATTGCCTGGAGCCAGTGAACAGCAGGAGGGATGAGGTCATAAAGATAAGGCAGGACCTCAACGTTGGCTCTCCGTGAGATGCAGCCATCGGTACACGTGTTTAATTTAGGGTTCCGTGAGATGCAGCCATCTGTACGCGTGTTTAATTTAGGGTTCCGTGAGATGCAGCCGTCGGTACGCGTGTTTAATTTAGGGTTCCGCAAGGTGCAGCCATCGGTACACGTGTTTAATTTAGGGTTCCGTGAGATGCAGCCGTCGGTACGCGTGTTTAATTTAGGGTTCCGTGAGATGCAGCCATCAGTATGCGTGTTTAATTTAGGGTTCTGAGAGGCAGCGTGTTCCTGCTCGCCCTGAGAAAATTTCTTTCCAATCACTTCTGGGGAGGTTCTACTGAGGCAGGTAGTAAGCAATAAAAAGTAGTTAAAAGTGGACAGCATGGGGCAGGCCTGTGGCTCAAAATCGTAGGGCTCCGGCCCCATATGCGGGAGGTGGTGGGTTCAAACCCAGGACTGGCCACAAACTGCCAAAAAGAAAAGTGGATAGCATATGCTGTAGCTTCTGGTCAACTGTTTAAACGTTCATCTGTGTTTTTATGTAACTATTTTTTAATAGTATCATCATCTAAAGGACATTGCCCTGGGGACCCTGGGCTATGGAGAAAATGAAGACAATAGAATTGGCTTAAAAGTCTGTAAGCAGCACTACAAGGAGGGGACCATGTTTCCTGCCAATGAGACCCTGAACATGGACAGTGACACTGAGACAGGTAAGGCAATGCCGATGTCTATGCCTTTATCATCGTTTGCAGTGAGAGCAAAAACGCCCTCCGGTGCGACGACCAGACGAACAGCGTGGTGGCTCTTCAAAGAGCCAACCTGTTGGAGAGTGCCACTTTTTTTTTTAAATAATTAAATATTTTTTATCAAATCATAACTTTGTACATTGATGCATTTATGTACTGCTTCGATATACAATGTGAAATGTTTACATTGAACCAAGTAACACATCCATCATAATTATACTTGTATCTTAATAGTTTTCAAATGTACCATTGCCTCATGCATATTAGGTGAGGTTTTGACTTTGCTACTTTGGTGACAGGACAGGGACAGCATTTGTGGATCTTTTGGGTGCAATTTTGGTTTGAGGATAGAGCAGGTATTTCCTGGTATTTTGATTTTATCCTCCCAGGGAAGGAGCAATTAAGCTTTTTAAAAAACAAATGTGCATTAAATGAAGTAACATATGTAAAAATGCATTGTACTCTTGTTCTTATTTATAAAGTAGGTACGTGCTCTTCAAAGGGTGAATAACTCATTTCTTTTTTCGAGAGACTGGTTGGCATAAAGTTAATAGCTAACCATGTAGAATTGTTTTATGCCATTTTGCTAAAAATTCAAAAGCACACCTTATATAAGTGCAAAGTGTTTGACTTAAGACTTTGGGGATTTTTCACTCAACACACCCCTGGCATATAGCCGCCAGGTCAAGACACTTGGTTTTACTGGGGTTTGTACTGGGGTTGCAAAGATTAATCAATAATGGTTCCTCAAGTACCTATCAGTCCAGGAGTAGAGGTCTGAATAGCAGTTTAAATTCAGAATGGTTTTATTAAAATGAGAGCATCCCATTTGGGAGTTCATTTGACCATATTCCCATAATCTGATCTTCAGGTACCCTGTTAATGCAACAGAACACCTCTCTATGATAGAGATTTTAATTCTGTTTCTGCGGGCTGCCTGTGAGTGTGTGTGCCATGTGCTTTGGCTTCTGAAAGAAGCAGGTCATCAGCCAGCACCCTCAGGACCCTGTGGTGTCTGGCTCCCAGGCTGCTTTCACAGACCATTGAGAGGACAGTCGCCAGGGCCAGCAACATTGAAAGGTGGCTTGTCTTATTGCCCTGGAGGCTTCTGCTAACCTGAGATCTATTTGTTGTCCCCCTGTAGGGGTTAATCAAGGCCTCCTTTTCAGCCTTTACCTCTAGTGTGAGCCTCCCTGTGGGTGATTTCCTGTAGCTGTGGCAAGAGGCCAGGCTAGGTGGGGCTGTCACCCTGTGTTGCAAGTGAGCCATCCCATCACCTGCCCTTTTAAAAATGTGCACCTCAAAGTATGTACACCATATGGCTATTTTCTAGTGAGTCAAATGCTATTTTGTTCTCAATTGATTTTTCCTGGAAAAATTGATTAAAGAATGGCCAAAGTCCGTATCAGTGGCTAGACGGGTTGGGCAGTGCTAGAAAGCAGGGTTTATTCCCGGATCACTGGACAGTGGAGCCTGGTTCATTTCCTTTCAATCAGAATATGGAATATTTTTAACTGAATGGACGGAGGTTGATTATTAACTTGACCTTATCTTAAGAGAGATTTCTTAAGCAGGTTAATTATATTCTTTGACTTATTAAATATAACTTGTCAAAGAGAATCTTTTGATGTATCTATCAAAAGGTATAAAGAAGATTTTGAGAATATTGGATCCTGGATGTTACCCCACTTTTCTTGAACACATCGGTGGAATCATGCAGATGATATCATAGGAATTGAGTTTGGTGTCCTTAATTTAAGTGAGTGAACAGCAGCTGCTGTTCTAGACTAAGCACCCATGAATTTTGCATCATCTTTACTATTGAGATACTCATTCCTTCATTGCGCTGAAGGCAGAGATTGGCCTCTGTGCCCAGCTTTCCCTGTGTGGCCCAACTGGTTGTGTAGCCCGTCTGCTTCAGCAATGTTTGAAAGTGAAAACATTTCATCTTCCAATGAATGAAATACAGGAGAAAAACACCCAGGACGGCATCTGGCGCATCGACCACGTCAGTCACTTCTTTCAGAATGTAAATTGCTTTCATCAGTTTAAGTTTTCTTTTTACTTCACCTCAGAACAGTGGTTCTCAACCTTCCTAATGCCGTGGCCCTTTAATGCAGTTCCTGTGGGTTGCGACCCACAGGTTGAGAACCGCTGCCTTAGAATAAGAACGTTAGAGATAGAAGGACCTTAAATAGCCCCAGTGCGGCCCTCGTTTTATAGGCAAGGAAACTAATGGTCAGTCAAGGTAGGCAGGTACGCCGAGATCATGCAGGGAATTCGTGATTGGAGGTCTGTGCTCTCAAAGTCCACCAACAGCATGGACTTCACCTGGGAGCTCAGCCCCCAGCCCGGATCCTGAATCCAGACGTGCATCTTGATGAGATCCCGGGGATTCGTGCGCATTAACTTTTTGCAGCACTGATTCGGTGTCTTCCAACTGAAGATCTTTCCCTTCCCATGAGCCTCTTTTCGTTCCCTTCTGTGACTTCATTACCTGCTCCGCCATCCGTCATCACCTCCTGTCCTCAGTGCCTTCTGTATGCAGCTCAGGTTCCCGTTCCCATCACTGTCCCTCCCTCTCAACACTGGCAGGGTGCTCGCTGCTGCTTTCTCACCTGGACCCCCTCCAGGGCCATTGGTCCCCAGCCTCTTCCCCCGCCCCATGCCCCAGCAGTTGGCGTTTACAGGATGACGGTGCCAGAGCACAACGCCCTCTTCTTCCTGTCCCCAAGTGTCCCTTGCATGGCCTCTTCTACCCCCGAGTTACAGAGGAGTGCCGAGCCGAGGCCACAGTTAAAAGCCCCACCTAAAGAGCAGGGCCCACCCTTCCAGCTCCTGAGAAGTCATGCCCTTTCCCTCTGGTACCCCAATTTACCCTCTAACCCAAATTTCTCTCCTGAGCTCCACACGCCTCATCATCTTCAACTGGCTACTTGAAACTCCATCGCGTTGCCTAGTGGAGCTTTCAAACCTGCTGTGTCCCACACAGAATGTGTCAAATCTCCCCCATCTCTCTGCTTACCCCGGCCCAACCTGTTCCTTTCTCGGGCTTCCTCATTTTAGAAAAGGACAGCAGCGCTTTCCTGCTTACTGTGACAAGGCCACACTGAAGTGGCTGGTTTTTCCATTTCCACCGCCACCACTGCAGTCCAAGCCGCTGCCTGCTGAGAGGTCTCCCTGGTTCTGGACTTGCCTCCTCATCCCCTGCCGCCCCGCCCGCAGCAACCACAGTGGTAAATCAGGTCATGGCACTTCCTGGCTTAGAAACCATTCGGGGCTTCCCATTCCATTTAGAATCAGATTGGCAGGACCCTGTTGGAGCCGCCCACCTGCCTGCCTCCCAGCCCCCTCGGCACCTCCTTTCTCTGCTGTCACATCATCCTTTCTGTTTGTTGAACACGCAGGTTTTATTGATTCCTCTGAGGGAAGTAGTAGCTCCCCGGTCTATGCACAGCTCTGAGGGCCCTCCGGTCTATGCACAGCTGATTCTTTTTCCTTTAGGAAAATGGTTTCAGCTCAAACATCTTAGCACCATGAGAGTCATTCCCTGACCACCTTGCTTTCCTAAGCTGGGGCTGTCCTACCTGCTCTCAGTCACTCTTCTGTATTGTCATAGCACTTCTCCCATGGTAAAATTATTTTGTGTGTGTGTGTATATATGTGATATATGATAAATAATAATTTTACCATGTGAGAAGTACTCTCTATATACATATATATGTATTTTATATTTATATACACATATATATATTTCTTTTTTTTTAATCCCCCCACTAGAATGTGAGCTCCACGGAGGTGGTGGCCAAGCTTGTCTTGCTCATTGCTTTACCTTCAGTGCCTAACACGGTGCGTGGCTTTCAGCAAGTATTGGCTGAATAAATGAATGAGTTGGGCAGGGAGCTTGGGCCTCTGATGTTCTCAGAGGTCGGCCCCCTCAGTGTGATGGGAACAGTGGATTTAAATTTATCAGCTACCTCTGTGCCCTCGAGGAAGTTTCTCGGCTTTTCTTGCCTTGGTTTATCCATCTGTGGAGGGCACATAGCTCCTGCCTCACAAGCCGTTTGAGGGTTCAGCAGCACGAGGCCTTCTTGAGAGGACTACTGTCCAGTATGGAGTAAGTGCCCAGTATGTTTTTGCTATTTTTATCATCAGCAGTCTTTTCCTGGCTGAAAACAAGATTCTTTTTGATGAATTATCCTCCCTGTATTGAGGTCTGGTCAGGAAACCAACACTGAATTGTTTCTTGACACTAATACTTTATTTGCCAAACAGGGAGACACACTCCATAAAATCTACCTTTTTAAATAAAATACCATGCCGGTTGAGTTGTTGGGTTGGTTCTGTGTCCCTGGTTTTGGCTCAGGAGCCTAGTTTTCATTAAACATAAGTGTGTCCCACACATCAGGACCTATCTGGAGGGCCAGCTTTGTGGTAGGCAGGAGTGTTTAACAAGGAAGAACGTAGTTGTGTTTTTGATCTCAGAGACCTTATCCTAGAAGGGATAAATAAGCAAGTTAAGAGTTGGAATTGTGAGATAACACTCTTAAAGGATTAGCCATTGGGTCTACCAAGGACTCTCCTGAGTACCTTCTGGGTGCCAGGCCCTGAACTAGGCCCTGCCTTTTCCATTTCAAAGGCAAGATGGGAGGGGGGGTGGCCTGGGGAAGGGGCAGCCATGCTGGTTTCACACCTGTTCTGCCTCTAGGTCTCTGTGACTTTGAAAGGGGCACCTTGCTAGGCCTCCTGGTTTCCCGCCCTGTGAAGCAAGGGTGTTAGGCTGTGTAATAATGGGACAAATTTGCATGGGAGGCTCTGGAATCATTCTTCCATAGTTTATGGCTCATAATTTGTTTTTACTTGAATATAACCTGAGCTCCTTTCCTTTCTCTTTATGTTTTATTTTGAAAAAGACTTAAAAGAAAAGTTACAAAATAGCACCAAGGGTTTGGCACTTGTAGCTCAAGCAGCTAAGGTACCAGCCACATACACCAGAGCTGGCAGGTTCAAATCCAGCCCCGGCCTGCCAGACAACAATGACAACTACAACCAGAGAAATAGCTGGGTGTTGTGGTGGGCGCCTGTAGTCCCAGCTACTTGGGAGGCTGAGGCAACAGAATCGCTTAAGCCCAGGAGTTGGAGGTTGCTGTGAGCTGTGATGCCATGGCACTCTACTCAGGGCTACAACTTGTGGCTCTGTCTCAAAAAAAAAAAAAACAAAAACAAAAACCAAACTAGCACAAAGATTTGCTCTCTAATTGCAATCCAAATTTCCCAAATGCTAACATTTTATGCCATTTGCTTTATCATTTTTCCTCTGCATAAATATTTCTCCTAAAGTTACAGTGCCCAAGATGATGAATTAACATTGATCCAATACTGTCAAGTCCTACTCACATTTCATCAGCTGTCTTAATGTTCTTTGTATCAGAATAAAAGCATTCCCTCCTGCCCCTTCCAGGATCCTGCCCAGGATCACATCTGGCGTGTCATTGTCATGTCTTTTCAGTCTTTTTTTAATCTGGAGCAAGATAAAATTCCTTGGTTTTGTTTGTTTGTTTACCTTTTATGATCTTGACATGTTTTAAAGAGTAGAATGAATGTCTCTTGCATTGGGCTTTTGTGTTTCTTCCAGATAGATTGAGGTAATGCATTTTTGGCAGGAGTACCATGCACGTGATGTTGTGTCCTCCTGAGTACGTTGTATCAGGAGGTGCAGGAAGTCTGTTTTCTCATTACTAGTGATGTTAACTTTGATCACTTGGTTAGGGTGGTCTCTGCCAGGTTCTCCACTGTAAGGTTACTGGTATTCTTCCCATGGACTTAGTAAGCATTTTCTGGGGAGATACTTTAATACTTTCTGAGTATCCTGCTTCTCCTCACACTTTTGCCCATGAGTTTTAACAGCTGATTCTTGCCCCAAACAACCATTTCTTGTCCTTTCATTGCCCTAGATTGCATTCACTTAGACCTCCAGACCCTCGCCAGGAACTCTCCCGACTGGAAGAACTTATCATTCTTCAGACTGGAATTTTATCGGTAAATACATTTTTAAAGTCTCATTTTCCAGGAAGTGAGGGGAGGGGAAGGAGAACAGGATAGTAAGATTATGATAATTGATACCTTTTCACATATTTTATTCAGGCTCTTAAAAGTTGAAATCTCCTTTCGACTCAAAGGCATTGACCTACAAACGATCCATTACCGCGAGTTACCAGACTGTTACGTCTTTCAGAATACGGCAAGTGTCTTTAATTTTACCAAGCCACTTTCTCTTATTTCTCCCTACACTTTTTGTAGATGCAGAGCATAAAACACCCTGGGGTATCCATGAATTAGATGCAGTTGTGTTTCAAACAGATCTGATGGTATGTTTTGGTATTGTTGATCCAGAGACTATTACTTCTGAAGATGAAGCAAAACCTTTTCAACTTTTAAAAACTAGATTTCTAGGTTGAAAGAAGAATTTTAAAAATCGGCTTTGACCTCCTACTCTTCTAATATGTTAAAAAAAAAAAGTTCATGACAAGAATTTTAAGTTTCTATAGCAGCGGTTCTCAACCTATGGGTTGCGACCCTTCTGTAACAGTGAAAATACATCACAGCATAGGAAGGTTGAGAACCACTGATCTACAGTGTTACTACCAGCTTCTAAGGAAGATCGCTTTGCAAATGTTGTCCCAATGTTTTCCCACCTTGAGACAGGAACTGTCCCCTTGATCTGAAGGCTGGTCTGCAAAGGTACAGTTGTTTTGGGGAGGGGCACGTGTAGTAGAAGAGATTGTTCACTTTGTGGGAGAGTGAGTGGCCTTCTCACTTTGATACACTTTCTCTCTCCTTCCATTTGTCTTGCCTCCCTTCTGTCCTTCTTCCTGTGCTTTTTTTGTTCCCTCTCTCCTTTCCTTTCCTGTTGGAAGGGCTAAGCTGGGATGCTTAGTTGGAAGTCATGTACACTCCCTTTTAGCAATTCACAAGAGTGCTTCCTTTAACAATACTCAGTAACAACTTAATGAGTCCCTACCAGGCACCAAGGATTTTGCTCTGCTGCAAAGGTGCATTGGCCCTCGGGAAGCTTACAGTCTAGTAAAGGAAACAGACAGAAAAACAAGTAGCTGAGGTACAAGTAACTACAGCTGTGATACATGGTAAGGAAGAGTGTCTCCAGATGGGATTAGCAGAGATAATCCTCCCTGGGGTGGGTGGGCCAGAAGAGTACTGGGAACATCCAGAGGGATGAGGACAGACGCCAGAGAAGAGCGTGGAGGAGTAGGGTCTTCCAGGATGAGGTCATCGATGACTTTGTCACAACGCGGTCAACAGCATGGGTCAAAAAATAATGGCCCTTCATTTTTATTTTGTTCTTTGGACTTTTATCTGCTTAAGGTTCCCAAGGCTTCAGAAAAGGCTCTTTTGGGGAAAATGGAGACCTTGAGTGTCAGTAGAGGTTTAGTCAAAGTTTACAGGTATAAAAATGAGGGTGATGTGGTTTAATTCTTTTTTTTGAGACAGAGTTTCAAGCTGTTGCCCTGGGTAGAGTGCTGTGGCGTCACAGCTCACAGCAACCTCAAACTCCTGGGCTTAAGCGATTCTTGGTTTAATTCTTGAACCTAGGGTCTGGTAGGGATGTTCTTAGAATGCACAGAACTTTGGCTCATGTTGAGAGACATGCGGATGCATGTGGGTTTGATCACCTGCCCATTCAGCTCTCCAGCTTTTTACCTGTGAACTTTTTGGATTTCCTAATATATTCACCATAAGGAACACTTGGCATATACCACTTGTAAACTTTAAATGATTGATTTAAATTCCATAATGTGGCAGGTTGAGGGCATTTAGACATCCTGAATTCACTCTGCAGCCTTGGTTAAGGAGTAATCTTAAGGAGCAAGTAAGTTTCCTTGCTTAAGGAATAAGCTTAATTTATAGTTCTTAAAGCAAACAGAAAAATAATTGTCAGCCTAGTAAAAACGTAAAATTTCATACCTAAAGGACTAAATTGAAGGAAATGCTATCAAATTTCATCCAGCATAATAAGTAAGAATTTTGTGTTCTCTTGTCAAAGATTGGTGAATTCCGTTTTCTTTTTTTGTCCCCAGAACTGGTTTGTTGTTTTGCTCTATGATTTCTCTGAACCAGGGATCTGAAATCCTGGATGTGATGGGCTTCATGTATTCCCCCCTTTCAGTTATATTTTTTCATTAATAACAGAAACTTTATGTCCTGTGATGTCCTGTGATGAGGACATTTTCATCAGTATAATTTTCCTTGTTGCTCTAATTTATATCTTTATTTCTTGTGTGTCCTATAGCCACTAATTGGCTGTTTGGTTTTTTGACAATTTTTTTTTAAGGAATTTATTTATTTATTTATTTATTTATTTTTGAGACGGAGCCTCAAGCTGTCCCCCTGGGTAGAGTGCCATGGCATCATGCTCACAGCAACCTCCAACTCCTGGGCTCAAGCGAGTCTCCTGCCTCAGCCTCCCAAGTAGCTGGGACTACAGGTGCCCGCCGCAGCACCTGGCCATTTTTTGGTTGCAGCCAGCATTGTTGTTTGGCGGGCCCGGGCTGGGGATTCGAACCCGCCACCTTAGGTGTATGTGGCTGGCGCCTTAGCCGCTTGAGCCACAGGCGCCGAGCCAGGAATTTATTTATTTGTTTTCCAGTTTTTGGCCGGGGCTGGGTTTGAACCTGCCACCTCCGGTATATGGGGCTGGCGCCCTACTCCTTGAGCCACAGGCGCCACCCTTTTTGACAGTTTTGACTTTAGACCTTCATACTAGAGGATTGAAAGATTTATGTAGTGCTGGGGTACTCTGAGTTTGATTATGAATTTACCTCTACTGGTGAGTTATATACTTTCCCGTGTTTTCCTGATAATAGTGTTTGTCCTTTCATTTCTAGTTGTAGTACCCCTCAAGCATTTCTTGTAAGACTGGTCTAGTAGTGATGAGCTTTGTTTATCTGAAAGGCCTTTATTTCTCCTTCATTTCTGAAGAATGGCTTTCCTGGATAGATTTAATATTTTTACATGACAGTTTTTCTATTTTAGCACTTTGAATATATCATCCCACTCTCTCCAGGCCTGCCATAGTTCTACTAAGAAATCTGCTGACAGTCTAATGGAGATTCCCTTGTATGTGACTTGATGCTTTTTTATAGCAGCTTTCAGATTCTATGTCTTGACTTTTGACAATTTGATTATAACTTTCCTCAAGGAAGATATTTTAGGGTTGAATTTATTTATTTATTTTGCAGTTTTTGGCCAGGCTGGGTTTGAACCTGCCACCTCTGGCATACGGGGCCAGTGCCCTACTCCTTTGAGCCACAGGTGCTGTCCTATGGGTTGAATTTAACTGAAGTCTTTGTGCTTCCTGCATCTGGATGTCTGTGTCTCTCCTAATTCTTGGGACGTTTTTAGTTATTTTGTTAAGTAGGTTTCCTGTGCCTTTCTTCATCTCTTGTTCCTCTGCAACTCCTATAATGCAAACATTTGTTCACTTAATGGTGTCCCCTAAGTCTCACTGGGCTTTTTCATTCTTTCTTCTTCTTATTTCCTATTTTTCCACTGACTAGGTTATTTTAAAAGACCTGTCTTCAAACTTAGAAATTATTTCTTTTACTTGATAGTCTACTGTTAAAACTCTCAGTAGTATTTTTTATTTTATTCCTTGCATTCTTTAGCTCCAAGTTTTCTGTTTGGATCTTTTTTTTTTTTTTAAATCCTTTATTTATTTATTTGCAGTTTTTGGCCAGGGCTGGGTTTGAATCCACCACCTCCAGTGGGGCTGGCGCGCTACTCCCTTGAGCTATAGGTGCTGCCCTGTTTGGATTTTTTTAAATGCTGTCTATCTTTTTGTTGAATTTTGCATTCAGATCATAAATTGTTTTCTTGATTTCACTGAATCATTTGTATTTTCTTGTATCTTGCTAAGTTTTCTTTAGATCATTGTTTTGAATTTCTTTTCAGGCATTTTGCAAATACCCTTTTCTTTGGGGTCTGTTACTTAAAAATTACTATGTTCCTACTGGGGGTGTCATGTTTACTTGTTTTTTCATGTTTCTTATGTCCCTATAGTGATCTCTATGCATTTTGTGAAACAGTTGCTTTTTCCAAATTTTATGGAGTATCTTTCTTAGAAAGGGAGTTTTTCCTTTAGATGGGTTCTAGGGTGTCCGTTGCGTATAGTGCATTGGCTTTGCTTCTGGGTGGTCTCTATTAAGTCTCTTCAGATATAATCCTTGTCAGCAACATCCATGATTGCCTTCATGGCCAAGATTGCAGGAGTTTGTGCCAGCAGTGGCATGGTTTTGCTGGAGGTGGGTGAGGCTCTTTGAGCTGCAGGCACTGGGCATTGCAGGCACTCAGCCACCTGACTGGCTGAGTATGTGTGTGGGGTCTGAGGAGGACTTTCCTTTAGCAAAGACTGCTGCCTTCTGTGATGGTAATGCCATCAGTGGGGGGGTCTCCAGCTTAACTTTTTCCCATAATAATAAGTTCTCATCTGAGTCTGAGCTGATCCCAGTGAGGTAGACAGTGTGGTAGAGGCAGGGTACCTTGCTTCTCTCTTTATGGTATGTCCTGGGCTTCTCTGCTCTCCCAGCATTCCTCACTCCCCTGATGCTCTCCAGCATACACTCTCAGTCACTCCAGTCAAAATATAGTTCTTGGCTGGGCAGGATGGCTCAGGCCTGTAATCCTAGGACTCTGGGAGGTCGAGGTGGTGTATTGCCTGAGCTCAGGAGTTCAAGACCAGCCTGAGCAAGAGGGAGACTCTGTCTCTAAAAATAGGCAGGAGTCATGGCAGGCACCTATAGTCCCAGCTACTTGGGAGGCTGAGGCAAGAGAAACTCCCAAGCCCAAAAGTCTGAGGGTGCTATGAGCTATGATGTCATAGCACTCTACTGAGGGTGACAAAGTAAGATTCTAATACACACACACACACACACACACACATATATATATATATAGTTGTTTACTTATTGTTTGGGCCCCTTTCTTTGGAGAGTGGGTGAGCAATGGCCAACTCTAGTTGACCATTTTGCTGACTAGTGTAATTCTCTCTGCATCAGCACATTGTTTGGATGCCGTTGATTTCTTTCAAAGCCAAGTTGATCAAACAAGTTATACTTTCTGCTGGGCTGTAACCTCTGTCTACATTTGTGTCTCCAGATTACCTTTGACAATAAAGCTCACAGTGGCAAAATCAAAATATATTTTGACAGTGATGCCAACATTGAAGAGTGTAAAGACTTCAACATATTCGGATCTAGTAAGTATGCTATGTACTTACTTGTTGGGGGATTTAGGGGTGTTTAAAGGGTTATTTGGATGCTAATAGCAAGAAAATTTCCAGAAAATCACATGTTTAGCACTAAACTCTGTAGGCATATCCCAAAGCTTTGTATTTTTTTTAATTCATCAAATGTTTGTTATATTCCTCTCAGGAGATGATGCATGCTTCAGTGGCTAGGAGCTCAGGCTCTGGAGCCAGACCACCCAGGTTTGGGTTCTGGGTCTGCTTTACTGTGCCTATGATCCTGAACAAATTACTTCATCTATCTGTCTCAATATCTTTCTCTGCAAAATTAGGGCAGTAACAGTACCCGCAACTGTACAGATTGAGCACCCCAAATGTGAAAATCTAAAATTGGATTATTCCAGACTTTGAAGCTTTTCGAGCACCAACATGATGCTCAAAAGAAGTGCTCATTGGAGCATTTCAGGTTTCAGATTTGGGGATTTGGTATACTCAACCACTAAGTATATTGTGAGTATTCCAAAATCCAAAAACATCTGAAATTTGAAACACTCTGGCCTGAGCATTTTGAATAAGGGGTACTCAACCTGCACTTATCTTTCCAGGATATTGAGTATTGAATGAGTTGGTATGTAAAGCAAAACGCTGGGAACAAGAGTTGGCACACAGCATACTAATTACAAGGCATCATGGAAAAGAAAGAAAAGTCTTATTGAGGGAGACTGACATGCTTATAAAATCTCTAACTTTTATGGATAGAAATAAGTGGTGCATGAGGAGAAAGAAAGCAAAAGTTAAATTTGACTTGGGTGGAGTGAGAAATAAGATTGAAAAATGGTTCTTGGAGAAGGTATGCTTTGGCCTGAGCCTTGGACACTGGAAAAGAATCAAGACCTAGGGTGGTGCCTGTGGCTCAAAGGAGTAAGGCACCAGCCCCATATGCTGGAGGTGGCGGGTTCAAGCCCAGCCCAGGCCAAAAACAGCCCCCCCAAAAAGAAGAAGAATCAAGTGGAGACCCAACAAATTGGGTCATTCACTCAGTCATTACTGGGCAAATGCCTCTTAATGCACATTTAAAATGATCTACCTAAGAACCTATTCTGTTTTCTTGGCAAGGGGTTGGGATGTTAATGGTGGGTGGTCAGTAGTTTTTAATTTGCAAGTTTTGTTTAAGTGAATTGCCCTGTGACTAGATTATCAGAACAAAATGAATTGCAAAATACCTGTGCTTCCTATTGTAGATTTGTTTTAAAATATAATTGATTTGTGGCCTGAAGTTTTCAGTTGTATCATATGTCCTGATGATTTCAAAGTTTTGATTTCAGTCGTTGCACTAACTGACTTCAGCCTCTGATAGAATGTACTGTTTTGGTTTTTATTTACAAAGTGGTTACTACTCCCCAGCAGACACCACTCTCCTCACAGATACGCAGAGATTAGGTGCTATGTTCCAAGTCCGAATGCAGGGTGCAATTTTCTATGAAAAAAAGCTAACTTTTGTCACATATGTGATTTGGAGTGATCATTAGGAAGATCAAAATGACAGAATGAGTTAATCGAATGTGGTGCCAGAACAGCATTTCCTTCCACCCCACAGGGCCCCCCCTTACAATACTGGGGTACCCTTATCTCCCCTCGCCCCTGCCCCTGCCCCCGCTTGCCTCAGAAGAGAGGCTCCCTAGCACCCTCCTGTGGTCAACTGAGAGAAACACGCGCCTCTCAAGCGTTTGAGTAACAGCGCTAAGGTTTACCTATGCTTCTGGAGCTGTCCTCAGAAACCAGCTATCACCAGGAGAGTACACATTTAAAATAAAATGATGTGCCGTGAGAGCCCTGTGATAAAATGGATTTCCCCCCCTCAAATGAAGCTGTCTGATGGATCCAGATTGTCTCGGCTTTGAGGAGAGTGGGACAAAGGCAAAGTCGCCATCTAGTGGGATTCTTAGCCTATTTCCAAAAAATCCTCCGGTCCTTTCACGTTCATACGCTTACATCCCCACCCCCCACCGCCCCCGCTCTTGTCATCTCTGTTACTGTATTATCTCAAGGGGGAATAAGAAGGCAAATGTCCAACTTCACATATAAACCTCATGTTGCCGTGTGTGACTCTGATTCCCGTCTCTGAATGTGCCACGAATCTGCATGTAACTTGATTTTAGAAATGTAGCCATTTGGAGATGAAGGGCTAGGGGAGACTTAGTGAGCAGGATTCCCCAGTGATGGGTGATATAAACAGTATTAAGGGGAAATGGGTTTCAGTAATGTCCGGAAGCCCTGGTCCCAAAGGCAGGCTAGTGGCGGTATGGAAGGACTTTATAGGCCTTTGAAGGGCTGAGTGTTCCGGGGACTTCCCTAACCAGGTCAGCAGGGGCATCTTTCTGGACTAGAGTTTTTTAAACTCAGGTTTGGGAAATGTTCCAGTGGGGTGACAGTGTTTCAATGAGAAATCAATTAGGATGCTTATAATATATATTATGTTATATATATATATATATTATATTTTACATATATAAATATATTATGTTATATATATATGTTATGTATATGTGTGTGTGCATATATATATGTATGTATGTATATATATATTTAACCCACCAAACTAGTCTCAATAATACAAAGAAAAACAGAATGCTACAGTGGATTCTCTCAGGAGGGATAGCTTGTTTTTCTGGATTTGTTTTCCCTTCTGTAAATATGACATGATACAAGCAATACCACATATTAGAGATTTTTGTTCTAGTTATATGTCAGAATGGAATGCGCCAGATACTGTCCTTGTATTTCATAGGATTTTCAGTTCCACTTCAGTTCTTCTCCATTCTATGGGTCCAAGAAAAAAGAAAAAGGTCTTCTGATAGAGCTAAGGTGTCTTCTTACCTCCCCATGCGGTGATATCTCAAGTTAACTTAAATTTCTTGAGTATATAATGGCTAATGGGAGATGTAAGCACCGCGTGACGGGCGCCATCCTAACCAGCACTTTGCGTGGACGGTGCCACCTGGTTCCCCTGACAGCCCGTGGAGCAGATCCCCTGGCCCTCCCCATTCTGTAGGGGCACCTGAAGCTTAGTAAGGTTAAGTCATTTGCTTGGGGAATTACATACCCGCTGGCTGGGTATGTAATCTGTGCATCCCCATTGCATGAGCTGCTTTGCCCACAGACACTCGTGCCAATATCAGCCACATCTTTGCATTATTAAACAAGAGGACACACCTTTCTGCAGAGGCATCGCGGTAGACTCCCCTCTGACAGTGTCTGTCCCCAGTCCTGTGCCCCTCTGGCCTTTTCTCTCTGTTACTGAGCTCATCTCCTTTTCCAGTTCTCAAACACTGCCCCCCTCTGCCTCCCCTCCGCTCTCTTTCCCACTCTGCTGGTCTCTCTGTGGCTCCCTGAGTAGCTGTCCACTCCCAAGCTTCAGCTGCCACCCAATCGTCCTCTCTTTTCATGAATGTCCAGACTGAACTCAGTTTCTCCAAGACAAAACCAGGAGCCATTCTTGGTTGTCCTTCTTCCTTATTCCCCAGGTCCAGCGACCCGGGGGCCAGACCAGGTTGTGACTCCCTCCTTCACCTCCGGCAGCTCTGCCCCTTCTCTCTTCCCTCTGCCCGGCTTATCTCAGAGCTTCTTAAGTTTCTACTTAAATCACTAGTTTGTCCTGTGATGGTCTCCGTAATCTTCGTTTATTTGTTAGCACACTGAAGCATTTTGCTGAGCATAGGTGCAATTTTTGTTTAACACTATCTTTGTTCTTTTTCTGTCTCTTATTAACAGAACCTGAAACTGGCTAATTTATTTAAAAATTTTATTTCTTACATTTCTGGAGACTGTAAGAGGTCCAGAGCTGAGGGGCCACATCTGATGAGGGCCTTCCTGGCAGTGGGGACTCTCTGCAGAGTCCCGAGGCAGCATGGGACATCCCACGGGAGGGGGCTGAGTGTGCTGGCTCAGCTCTTTCTTCCTCTTCTCCTGAAGCCAGCAATGCCAGGCCCACCATGACCCATTAATCCTCAGGTGGATGAATCCATTTGTGGGGGACGAGGCCTTATGACCCCATCACCACTTAAGGGCTCGGCTTCTCAAGACAGCCACACCACACATTAAATTGCAACAGGAGTTTTGGAGGGGACAAATGTGCAAACCACAGCAATTGCTCATGGGCCCTGCCTCACAGAGCCCACCATCTGGTGGGGAAGATGAACACTGAATGATAAAATAGTAACCACTAAGTGTTTGCTGTTATTATTTCCTTAGGGCTGTTCAAAGGCTTTTCGTATATGAACTGGTATAATCGTCCCAACAACAGCCCCATGATGTAGGTGGTTTTATTCTACCCACTTTTCAGATGAGGAAACTGAGACACGGGGGTTCACCCTCTTCCCTTTCTGCAGCTTATGAGGGCAGAACCGAGATTCAGAGCCAGGACATCAGACTCTTTTCCCGTGTCCCCCTGTCCCTGCTCCATGCTGTTCTGTCTTTGGAGACACAAGTTCAGCCCAGGAGAGTGAAGGAGCACGCGTGTGTGCAGACACAGAGAGGGCCATGAACGGATTGGAGGGAGCTAAGATGAGAATTTAGGAGACTCCACTGTGAGGTGGGGGATTTTTAATCTGAAACCTGACGCTGAATCTGAATAATCTGAGCATGCATGAGGTAGGGGGGAGACGTGCAGACAGAGGGAACAGCCTGTGCACAGTCCTTCAGAGGGGGCGGGGAGAGCGGGGTAGAGAAGGTGGGAGCCAGGCAGGAGGGAGCAAGAGTGGAACTGGGAGGCCACTGGGAGGTCTGAGAGCAGCCAAGGCTACAGCTTCATCTCCCTCCAGTACATAATCCCTCCTACCCGGTAAGCCAAAGCCCGATTCTCATTACCAGGTTCCTACTTACTTCCATTCCAAACAGTTATTTCTCCACAGGCAGAGAAAGCTTCTCGAGTTGGCACTCTGCTGGAAAAGTGCTCAGTGAGGGTGAGAAGCGGAAATGGCGTTTAATTGTTTGCTCTATCACTGATGTTGAACTTGACGTCTGTGCTTTCACGTGAGAGAACTCAGAGTATGTCAGTTGTTTTGCCTTCTCTGAATGGAGCCCCAATGGATCACCTTCTGTTGAATTCTATTCTACAATAAATATTTATAAACACATTTATGCATTTATTAGCAGCTCGTGTTTTTCAATGTATAAATGTTCACCTCAGGGAATGTTTTACTCTATTTACGGACCTGAATGAATGTAGTGGGATTTGTTTCTGAAATTTACCATTTTGTTTTAACAATAGATAAAAAGCATTTATCGTTTGTACTTCTTTTCGTACTGCCGTTTTGTTTGGAAGTTTTTCCTGGGTAAGGTGCGTTTTAACATTTGGATTCTGCTTTTATTCCTCAGCTCAGAAAAATACACAGTATGTCCTGGTGTTCGATGCATTTGTCATTGTGATTTGTTTGGCATCTCTGACCCTGTGCACGAGATCCATTGTTCTTGCGCTGAGGTTACGAAAGGTAAGTACGTGTCCGTGTTTTCTCCCTGCTCTCTGGGCCTGCTCCCTGTTTGCCCAAACGGTGGACAACTGAGGTTGTACCATCTGCCCTTTCTGGAGCCCTGTGTTTAAATTAGATTCCTTTGAGTGATTGGCCCCGTGAGGCACTGATCAGCTTGGGGGGTAGAAGCGAGTAAGGGCCCAAGTATGTCAGGTGGGATCAGGTAATTATCCTGCTGAAAGCTGAGCTGATCAGGACAGGTGCGCAGTGGTGCACTCTCAAGCTTTTGAACATTTCCAGAATAAACGAGGCCCTTTTAACGCAGGAGTGATCTTAAGAACAGAGTGATAGCATGTGTGGGTTTCATCTTTTGTCTTCGAATCAGAGTTCGTTTTGACAGGGAGGCTTGGTAAATGGGTTATAATGAAGCATAAAATACTTTCTTTTACCTTTTAAAATGGTTTAAAAACTCTTCTGTGACTTTCAGTTTACCTTTCTACCCTCCCAGTTCTTTTGAGTAAAGATTCCAGCTCCCCTAAATCTTACTGTGGTTGGTGGTGTGTGTAACACACATATGGGGGTCAGGGTAAGTAGAAAGACAGGGGAATACCCTCTGTGGGGCAAGGAAATAGTCCACACCCTGTCTTCCTTAATCTTGACCTTCGTCAGTTTACCTTGTAAATATCCACTTCTCCTGCTCCCAAATGCCCTTGAATCCAAGGTTAATGTCCTGTGTCCGCCAAAGTGAGGCAACACACTGGAGCCACCTGCCTGGATGCCGGTCCTGATTTAGCCTCCCTGTGCCTCAGTTCCCTCACCCAGAGGGTAGGGCTGATAGTGCCTGGTTCATTGGGTCGTTGTTGGAATGAATGAGTGGATAAGATGTAAAGTATTTGGAACGTACCCTGTGTTAGCTGTGATGGCAAGTCTGTTGGCGTTAGGGCTTACTACGTAATATTTGAGTTAATGTAGTGGGCAGTGGAATGCTTCCTGTTAGTGGGGGGATTCTGGGGAAGCGTGTGCCACTCTCCACCCTGGAAGTGGCTCTCTCCAGTTGGAACAGGCAATGTCCTGTCACGAAAGGGCGCTGCTTTGCTCTGGCCTTTTCCTTTCTGAGGGCAGTGTGGTTTGTAAGAAGTGCCTTTTAAAATGTTTTCCATAGAGATTTCTGAATTTCTTCCTGGAGAAGTACAAGCGACGGGCGTCTGATGCTGACCAGTGGGAGTTCATCAACGGCTGGTATGTCCTGGTGATCATCAGTGACCTAATGACAATAATCGGATCCGTATTAAAAATGGAAATCAAAGCCAAGGTAAGGAGCAGCCCATTTAATGTCTCTGTCCTTTACATTCTTCCAGATGACTTTGGGCACTTTCAGACATAAGCTCCTATGGAGACTAGCTTGATTCTGGTGTTTTCTCTTTCTTACTCCTGTGCAAGTGAGGCCTCTTCTGGCTGGAGTAATCGTGAAGGGAAAAGAAGGAAGCTGATGTACTTTGGGAGGTGACATTCCTGTGAAAGCCTCCAGGAAACTTGGAAACACCTTCAGGATAGTAACGGAGTTTGAAAAGACTGGTTATTTGGGCTTCATCTTTTTTCAAGTTGCAAAAAGAGACGCTTACTTAGCTTCCCCTGGTCCTGCAAGTCCAGAGGCTCTGGGGAGGGTCCTGACTGTCAGGTGCTGAGGGATGGGGCAGGAATTCGGGACCCTCCAATGCCCAACACTTTATATGGACCAGTTGATTTAATCTCACAGCTAAGCCACAACTCCCCCTTCACCTCCACTGTGCTGTGGTCGGCAGGTTCACCGCCTTTACCTCCCAACTGCAGAGCCTCCCTCTCCCCCACCCTGACCACCTCTGCCTTCCGTCAGGCCATCTTCTTTTCTGGCCTGGATTGTTGCAGCAGCCTCCTCGCTGGTTTGCCCATCTTTTCTCTGGCCTGGACTGTTCAGCAGCCTCCTCACATGCACCCACACTGCTGTCAGAGGATTTTTTCTGGAAGTGTCCATCTTGCTGTTACACCCCTTCCTGCCTCCTGAGGCCTACTTTGGGGGTCAGCGGCCTCCCCTCAGCGTGGCCTCCAGGGTCCTTGCCCTGTCTCTGCTCCTGCCCCAGCACCCTGAGGACTTCTCACTGTTCTCAGCATGTGCCTGCCTCAGCCTTTGTCCACGTGTCTGTGGTGTCCCCCAGCCTGTCCTGCAGGCCTAGCACCACACTGGGGTCACATTTGTGGGCATCCCTCTGTGACAGGCTAGGCATGGGTCTTCCATTGTACTTAGTTTGTTATATTAGGATCATGTTGAAGCATTCTTTCAAAAGCAGCTGAAATGGACATCTATAAACCCAGCACTTGGGAGGCCGAGGTAGGTGGATTGCCTGAGCTCATGAGTTTGACACCAGCCTGAGCCAGAGCAAGACCTCGTCTCTAAAAATTTCTGGTCATTGTGGTGGGTGCCTGTAGTCTCAGCTACTTGGGAGGCTGAGGCAAGAGAATCACTTAAGCCCAGGAGTTTGAGTTTGCTGTGAGTTATGACACCACAGTACTCTCTCCAGGGTGACAAAGTGAGAGTCTTGTCTCAAAAAAAAAAAAAAAAAAAATAGCTGCATTTTACTTTTTGATACTTAACAGACACCGTTAATTTATATTCTTAAGTGCATGATAAATGCAATTTCTATTTCAGAATATTATTTAGGAAAAAAAATCAGTTCCACCAATTGACATACTGATCAGGGATGAGAAACACACGTGGAACTGTGTTCTCTGTTTTTATTTGTTTTTTCTTTAAAAAAACTTTTAGTATCACCTATAGGGAAGTAAGTAATTCATTCTTTTCCAGTCAATGTAAGTGACGTTACGAAGGTGAGTGGAGAAGTCTATTTTAACTCATTCGTCTTTTTGTTTTCATTTCTTAGAATCTCACAAATTATGATCTGTGCAGCATTTTGCTTGGGACATCCACACTCTTGGTTTGGGTCGGAGTCATCAGATACCTGGGCTATTTCCAAGCCTACAATGTAAGCATCAGACAGTGTTGCTGCCGCGGAGGCTTATTTCTTCCTTGGGTTCTGCTAGCTGCTTTTTCATTGCCCTCATTCTGTTGATTTTTTTCAGGTGCTCATTTTAACGATGCAAGCCTCACTGCCGAAAGTCCTTCGGTTTTGTGCTTGTGCCGGCATGATTTATCTGGGTTACACGTTCTGCGGATGGATTGTCTTAGGACCCTATCATGACAAGGTATGTGGCCCTCCCCCTTCCTTCTGCACAGTAGGCATGTGGGACCCTTAAACATGGGGTTAAGACGAGCTTCTGCCTTCTCTTCTCCAGCACATGCCCTTGACACCAGGAAACACCCATCTTTCCATCCATTTTCTTTCTCTTTTCATTATCAGGATATTGAAGGGACTGCAGGATATGGGAACAAGAATGGCATAAGACTAGAAAGCAGATAGATATTATTAGGCCGGGCACGGTGGCTCACACCTGTAATCCTAGCACTCTGAGAGGCTGAGACAAGTGGACTGCCTGAGCTCATGAGTTTGAGACCAGCCTGAGCAAGAACAAGACCTTGTCTCTAAAAATAGCTGGGCATTATAGTGGATGCCTGTAGTCCCAGCTACTGGGGAGGCTGAGGCAAGAGAATCACTTGAGTCCAAGAGTTTGAGGTTGCTGTGTGTTATGATGACACAGCACTCTACCCAGGGGGACAAAGTGAGACTCTGTCTCAAAAAAATAAAATAAAATAAAATAAAATAAAATATATATATGTAGAAAGCAGATATTATAGTTGTTTGAGAGTGGCTTAAAGGTCACATATCCACCTACTAGTTGTCAAATGAGAAATGTTTGGACCTGAGATCACTATGGTAAAAGTGAAAATTAAGTGAGGAAAATTTTATAAAATCTTTTTAATTTAAAGCAGCAGAGTGTTCATCCAAGTTAATTGAGAAGAGTGAAGGTGGGCCAAGACTCTGCCTAGAATGACCATATTAGGCTTATCATTTAAATGATTAGCACGTCTTGTCTCTGCTGGTGGTTTTGATCACACCATCACTGTGCCTTATTAAGATCAGAATCTGAGTTCAAAACATCACTGAGCTTCAGTTGGCATCATAATCTCTGAGCCATCCAAGTTATGCTAAGATGTTCTTGTTTTTAAATGATATATTTGATTGCTAGATGCTTCAGGAAATGAAACTAGATAGGCCTGGCTTTTAAACCCCCAAATAAAAGGAGTTATTTCATCTTTCAGTTTTTCTTCCGTGGCCTGTGGCAAAACAAAATCACCAAAAACCACAGCAGCTAATACTTACCACTTAGGTGTTAGGCGTTCATTCTCACTTAATGACCTTGACAGCCCAGAGTACTATTATCCTCACCTGGGGGCTCTGCACAGCGAAAAGAGGCTACAAATGTGAAGTGTTGCCTCCACCTGTGTGTAACAGTTCAGCCTCAAGTTTTGATCTAGATAGTTGCATTAATCACAACATCTGATCAAATCTGGCTTGCCAAACCGCTGGCAAACAGTAAGCTATACTCAAATCTCAAACCTCTGTGTTGTCCTACTAAAATAAATCACAGCCACCTTGTACACCCAGAATTTCTCTCCTCTTTAAGGGTCACATTTAATATGTCCAGAAAGCATTACTACTGTTTCTCCTGTATGAGATGCTGGGAAAATTAACAGAGTGAAAACCTCTAGGTTAATAGAAAATGTTGATCATCTTATTGCTCTTCAAATTCCATGTCATGCTTTAAAGGCGACTCATGAGAGAGAGATTGTTCTTTGATATGATCTCTCTGATCTGAAGAGCTTAACTGTCTTAGTGCCCAAGAAAATTTACATTTTTCTTTTCTTAGTTCCTCAAGTTCTGAAAGCTTTTCCAGCTTCTTGTCACTAGAGGGTAGTGTTGCACCATGTGGAATAAATGCTGAGCCTAAGGGTTCGGTTTTATTTCACTGGCCTGAGATTTCAGGACAAATGGTCCTATCTTTTGCACCCCCACCCCCACCCCCACCCTAATCTCCTCTACCCTATCTGTATTCCAGAACATGCTCTGATAGTGTTGCTTTAATTTTACTAGATGGCTACCCTTCTCAAGTGCTATTCGTTAGGCCCTGTGCCCAAGCTTTTACTTGCCTTACTATTTTAACCCTCTCTTCTTCTGTATGGAAGAATATTATTATCCTTTAGCAAAAAAATAGGCAGCTTGATATAGTAATTAATTTTCCTGAGGTTACCCAGTTAGCAAATGGCAGGAATTCAAACCCAGGTCTTCCTGACCCCAGTACACACATGCTTTCACCAAGACGCTGTAGGACTTTTCTTGGTATTATCGAAAACAGGTCATTGTCAAAGAGCATTCAGTTTGACCCAAGAAGCAGTGTTGTATTTCTAGATCGACTGTGAGAGGGGAGCCCCCTAATCACTCTCATTCTTTCCATGTTCCTCAAGGTCACCTTGTGGCAAATGATGTTATGGTTTTGTGAGTCTGACTGCATTTCCGTACGTTCAGATTTTTCCTTTCAAAGGATCCAGGTGACTTTGGGACACTCTGGGCCAACAGTGTCCAATAAAAATATAATGCAAGCTGCGAATGAGAGCCATGTGTATACTTTAAAGTTTTCTAGTACCCACATCAAAAAATTAAAATAAACGGCATTAATTTTATTATGTTTTATTATATCTAGTGTATATAAAATATTATCTCGGTGTGTAACCCGTGTTAAGTATGGAGGTATTTTACATTCCTTTCTTCATAGTAGGTCTGTGAAATCTGGTGTGTGTTTTGTCCTCACAGTGCACTTGGACCAGCTACAGATCAGGTGTTCAGTGGTCTCAAGTAGCTAGTGGCTACCGTTATGGACGTGGCAGCTCCCACTCCTGTCTCTCACTTATGCCAGCCTCCCCTTTATCCTGCTGAAGAGTAGCCAGGCTGGGGAAATGCATAGTTGAGTTAATTCATGAGTGAATGTATGAGTTAGAGGAGGGAAAGAACTTGAGTCTGATTTGGAGATTTTCAGCTTTTCTTCTCTCTGTTGCGTCTTTGAATCTGTAAGTGGAAAATTTTACTGCCTCCTGCCCTGTTTCCCCCAGATTAACCCAAACTATCAAAAACTTTAGGTTCTGCCAGTATCTGTTGAAGCAGAGGACTTTCAGTGTGGCCTGAAGCCTTGAAAAGAGAAGCATCAGAGCACGTGTTTTCTAGTTTTAAAATCACAGCAACCTTGAGCACGAAAGCTAATTCTTTCTTTAAAACAAATAAAAAACTCTACATAGAGGTGGTATCAGGACAACTGTCATTTGACACTATCGTTTGATTGGTACTGGCGGCCTGTGAGGCTTTAGCACACTCTCTTCCTATTAGATGCCTCGTTTCAGTGGTTCAGCTGAAGGGCAGAGAGAGGCAGAAAGTGCCCTGCTGGAGTTTGCTCCCAGCTCTGATGGACCTTGGCACAGCACCCTTTCAAACGTGTAGGTACTGACGGCTGGAGACTGTTGGTGTTCTTCCAAACCACATCTTGAATTATTAAACTTACTCTAATGTGCCTTTTACATTTCCAGAAGACTTGAAAAAAAACTTTTTTTAACCAGGAGGAATGAATCATAGTCTTACATTATCCCCATTTTACAAATAAAAAGAGTAAGGCATTGAAAATCGTTGGGTTTTGCTGATGCCAGGGGTGAGAGTTTAGCAGACCTTACATTACATCTTCATGCTTCCAAGCCCTCTCGTTATAGCCAAGCACCTCCCTTATCCAAAAGGAGCATCAGCCAATTATAGCATTTTACTCAAAAGTTGTGTGAGACTCTTAGCACCAGCTTTCGAAGCAAATTTTTATGTTTCTAACATGGCTTAATTGCAGGTTATGTTTTCATTCAAATGGAATTTTTTGGATCAATTACACAATTTTCATTTGTGAAATGAAAGCTTGAGTTCTCACTGTGGTCTCAGAGAACCTGTGGGAACTCTCATGGAAATACCCATTTAATATTATAAGCTTTTTCTAGACCAAGTTCTTAGAGGGCAGAAGTGAGACTTTCTTCCTCATTCCATTCCCAGTGTCCAGCATGGTGCATAGAACATGGGAGGTGCTTGACAAGTTTGTTGAATGAATGAGAAAAGACAGAGAGACCACAGGGCCTGCTTTCCGTATGATCTCTTAAGAACCAAAGCCAGACAGAGTGAGGTGGCTCACACCTGTAAGCCCAGCACTCTGGGAGGCCAGTGCAGGTGGATTGCTTGAGCTTAGGCATTCCAGACCAGCCTGAGCAAGAGTGAGACCCTGTCTCTACTAAAAATAGAAAAAAACTATCAGGGTATGGTGGTGGGTGCCTATAATCCCAGCTACTCGGGAGGCTGAGGCAGGAGGATCACTTGAGTCCAAGAGTTTGAAGTTGCTGTGAGCTATGACACCTTGGCATTCTACCCAGGGCAACAGAGTGAGATTGTATTTCAAAAAACAAAACAAAAACCATGCCCCATAAATGTGGTCCTTTTAGACTGAAAACTCATTAGGACCTTACCCTAGGAATTTTTAAAGCTTATTTCTACATATTATAGAATTTGACTACTGAAATTAAATCTGGTTCACAGCCACTTCTTGTGGCAGAGTACATTCCAATTGCCTAATTTATTGGGTCATTGTTTAAAATTGTGGGTGTGTGGCTCGGTGCCTGTGGCTCAGGCACCACATACACCTAAGGTAGTGGGTTCAAATCCAGCCCAGGCCCGCCAAACAACAATGATGGCTGCAACCGAAAAATAGCCAGGCGTTGTGGCGGGCACCTGTGGTCCCAGCTACTTGGGAGGCTGAGGCAGTAGACTCGTTTGAGACCAGGAGTTGGAGGTTGCTGTGAGCTATGATGCCACAGCACTCTACCCAGGGGGACAGCTTGAGGCTCTGTCTCAAAAAAAAAAAATTGTGGGTGTGTTAAAATAATTCTCATGTGCACGGAGGAGGGAAGGTGAGATGGTTGGTGCAGATTCCGTGTTGGACTGATAACAAAGAACTACCCAGGAACTAAGGAATGAATTTGATATGTGCGGATCAACTAGCTATTTGCAGTTCTGAAACCCGAAGCACAGGCTGTTAGGGGTCCTTGAAACTAAAGAAAAGAATGACCGGATTCTAAAAGAAACTACTGGAAATAGGACTAGCGCTGCCAGAATTGTCACTGACATCCACAGAAACCAGCTTGAACTTCACGGTCTCAAGGCTGGTGGAGGGATGGAAAATATTTACTTTGGGAACCGCCTGTCTGGCTGTTAAATAATCTGCATATTGTTAAGTGGTTTGCTCAGCTGGATGTTCCCTCCGCACCTCTGTGGGAATGTTAGTCTAGGTCATCAGACTCATGCTCACGTGGCCGAGGGATGACCCTTGTGTGGGGTGCGCTTGTATGCCCTCTCCCCTGGCCACCAACTTTACCTTGCCTAGTCCAGCCGTGGGGAGTGTAAGATGTAGCATTTGCTATCCGGTTGGGGAATAGAGAAGTGTGGAGGATAAGCACGCACTGGGAAGACCGTCTGTAGTTCACTGTGTGGTTCTTACTGATACAGAGTACGGAGAAGGGACTGGAGCCACCAGGCAGTAGACTAGGAAAAGTGGCATGATTCAAGAATATGCCAGGTGAGGAGAATAAACCTCATGGGGCCAAAACGAAGAAGTGGGCCTGATCTTGTCAGAAGAGACAGCGCAGGGTGTCAGTCTTGACAGTGAGGAAGGCAATGAGGCCCCCTGAGGGAGGAGCTTACCCAGCCTTCTGGGTTTGGATTTTTACTTTGCATCCAAACTTTGTACAGTCTCATGTAAGAGCAATGACCTAAAGGCCGACTTCTAGGAAGTGTAGTTTTACTGCAGCTTGGACTGGAGAGTGAAGATATGGGAGTGACAAAAACTCCCTTAGGGGTTTTCTGTAATAATCAGTGATGAACAGTGTTGCCATTGGGATCAGAGAACCACGTAGTAGGAACCAACAGGCCTTGGAAGATTAAAGAGGGAGGACGGTCAGTCTTTCCAACACATACTTGTTTTTGTTTTTATCTTTGTTTTTGTTTGAGACAGAATCTCGCTCTGTCATCCTGGGTAGAGTGCTGTGGCATCATCATAGCTCACAGCAACCTCAAACTCCTGGGCTCCAGCCACCTTCTTGTCTTAGCCTCCCAAGTAGCTGGGACTACAGAAAAAACTGCCCAGCTAGTTTTTTCTATTTTTAGTAGAGATAGGATGTTACTCTTGCTCAGGCTGGTCTCAAATGCCTGAGCTCAGCAATCCACCCACCTTGGCCTCCCAGAGTGCTAGGATTTTGGGTACGAGCCTTTGCACCACCTGTTCCAACACATACTTTTAAACACTTGATTATTTTGTAGTAAGTGTTTCTTTGGTAGGAGATTGGAATTGCCAACCGAAATAAGGAAATTTGGAAGGAAAGCCCATTTTCCTGGTTAGGGTGGTAGAAGGTTTTAGTTTGTTGGCATTTTCAAGGAATGATCTGTTATGTAACAAACATACTCATTGTTTGAGTATGTGATGTGAGAATGACGTAAGAAGATGCTTATGTCAAGTAGGAAAAAAAATCAGCATCAAAAATCATTTTATGACAGGATTATAAATATATAAAAAGTTCAGAAGGAAATGTCAAGAGATTATCTTTGAGAGTATGGAGGAAGTATTTTGAATAATGTTATCCTATTTCTTATGGTTCTCTAGCTGTCTTAAGGCGAATAAGTTCTCTTACCACAAATGACAACAACAACTAACAAAACGCGCTAACTGGATACCCTCTGCTTTTCAGGGTATTGTATTATAGAAACTGACTTTGGTTTTCTCCCTTACAGTTTCAAAATCTGAACACAGTTGCTGAGTGTCTGTTTTCTTTGGTCAACGGTGACGACATGTTTGCGACCTTTGCCCAAATCCAGCAGAAGAGCGTCTTGGTGTGGCTGTTCAGTCGCCTGTATTTATATTCCTTTATCAGCCTTTTTATATATATGATCCTGAGCCTTTTCATTGCACTTATTACAGATTCTTATGACACCATTAAGGTAAGTAATTTTCAGTGTTTGTTGCCCAAAAAATTACTGTAAATTCTGTTTAGATTAGAACATAGGAAACTATCGTCTATTTTACTTAAAGCATGACAATTGTATTTAGATTTTGAAGTTGTGTAGAAAGAAACTTTCTAGATACTGGAGGTTAATTTTACATATGCATTTGGGGTCGTGTCCCTGTTCCTCAGATGAGGGTGGGTTGGTTCAGAGGTGTTGGGGGGGGGAGACAGGCAGGGGGCAAGAACGACTGGGTGTGGGAAAACAGGTGCGCCGGGGTGTGTGGTGCCTGGAGCTTTGGTTTCGAGTCAGTTTCGGTGACGAGAGGTGGCTGCCACCCTGACAGCTCTCCAAATATTGGCACAACTTACGCTGGGTGATAACGGCTACTTGGGTAGTGCAGATTCCCTTTAAAGTATGAACACTAAGGTTTTCGTGACTGCTCAGCCTCCTACTTTCTTAAGTTATCTGGTGCGTTCTGTATCATTTCAGACTGCGCCCATAGAACTCATTTTTAGCATGAAGGAAATTCACTTTTTCAGTGCTGGTACCTTCACAGCAGGTGGCAGTGCTTGGAAAAGGCCTTTTCAGGGTCAGTGTGTGAACAACCAGGGGGGTTGTATTGTCACCTTTGGGTGTTGTCCTCTACTTAACCCCTGGGGAACTCAGAAGAAATCCAGCCCATTGGAAAAGATCCTGAGCATATTTTTAGTGTGTGGGGAGATTCGTGTTCAGTTGGTAATGGTGTTGGGCAGGGCTGAGCTGGAGAGACAAGGGCTGCCTTCTAATACACCCCTCGCCGGCTCTACCCTGGCTTTCTTTCTGGAGTTTTCCTTTGGATTGTTCTGTCCCCCGGGTTGCCCTGACTTGGTATTCTTGAACTGACAGATTGATTCATCATCTTTAATATCAGTTCTTAGATCTGAACTAGCAATGTGGGAGAGTTTGGTTTTAGCAAAGGTAGGTCTGGTTTGTTAACAAAGGGAACAATTCTCAATGCTTTATTAATGATGTAACGACATTGTGTACTTTTGAAAGAAATTCCAACAGAATGGCTTTCCCGAAACGGACCTGAAGGAATTCCTGAAGGAATGTGGCAGCAAAGCCGAGTGTCCGAGAGAGCCCTCCAGCCTCCCGTCCTGCATCTGCTGTCTGAGGAGGTCAGTGCTGGGGGTCACGTCCACGCTCCTGAGACGCCCTATTCTATTCCCCTGAGAAAGAGCCACCCCCAGATTAGCACGAGGCAGAAATCAGCTCGTTGTGAGAAATAAGTCATCTCTCTTTTCTTTCCTCCCAATGGAAACTGGGTTTAGAAGTGAATTGTGTCTGTTAAGACAGAGTTGGAAGAAAGCTCCATGAAATGATTGGAGTCTCCTAGGAAGGTCTGAGAGTGGCGAGAGAAGAAATAAATTATGTCCCTGAAGTCAAAAGGCTGAATTCAAAGCTCTGGTGTTTAGACGGGGGTCCCTGGGACTGCCTGAGGTGCCTTCCCCTTTCACAGTCTGTGGTGCAGGGAACCTTTCCTGATCAGAGCACGAGGCCCGCTTGAGAGGAGGCCACACGTGTGCTTGGTTGGGAAGGTCACTGTCAGCTCAGCACTGGCTGGAGTGCCTGCCCCCCTGCTCATCAAGACCCTTGGGAAAACGGTCTAGACCTCAGGGGACCATACATCTCACAGAGGGGGCTGGAGGTCAGAGGAGGACACTCTCAAATGTGACCACAACTGTTTTCATCTGAAGTCAAGGTAGAGGTTTGTAACGGAAAATGTGCCCCACCCACTTTTTTTTTTTTCAAAGAAGAAAATGTGAGAACATAATTGCTATTTAAACTCACAGGATGTATTTTGCTGTTAATCAATTCATACCTCATCTTGGGATTTGAAATTATATGATTAAGCATATCCAAAGAATGTCTGGGAAATATGAAATGAGGTCTTCTGAGAAGAGCTGTTTTCAAAATCACATTTCAGCCTCTGAGAGCATTAAATCGTTGTGGAAGCTGCGAGAGAGGGCGATTCATCTTCTCACCAGACAGTCGCCTCTGAAGTGGCGCCCTATAGGAAGAAAGCCTCTCACAGCGGCTTTCCTATTCTATGGCTAATGGTGAGGGAGAAGAAAATTCACTGGAGGATGTCGTGGTGAATTCTGCAAAGTGACGGAGAAGTCTTTGGTGTTTAGACTGTGGTTTGCGCCATTTAAGGTCCTGGAAGGTTGTTCAGTGTTTTCTTGTGCCGCTGTGTGGAGCAAATGAAAGATGTAAGAGAAAGTTTTCTGCTAAGCCTGGGTCTGGTGGTGAGCAGAAGGGAGCAGCAGCAGACAGTTTGCCCTGGGGGGTGCTAAGGGCTGGGGAGGAGGCCCCGGGGTGAAGGAGGGCCCACCTGCCCATCTGGAGGAGAGGAAGAATGAGAGGGAACCAGAAGGCCCTCCAAGAGGAATGAGGATGATGAAAGTCTTGAGAAAAATAGATTAAAAAAAAATTCAAAGACAGAGGGGACTGTAGCCACTTGTGGCCAAAAGATGATGACAAGTGAAGTCAGCCAGCAAATTTGCAGTGGAACCCGCAACCCAGCTAGGCCCAAGGGCGTTGGCTGGGCGCTGCTGAGGGAACGATGGCCTCGGGGCCTGACGGAAGGAAATGCATGGTGATGGGCCCCGAACACAAGCGATAGATTTGACTCCATCAAAGCCCGTAGGTAAACATAGGTATACCTCGATGTGCTTAAAAGCCAGGAATGGAAAAGCAGTGGAGAGTAGATACTGGACCCGCTGATGTGGTGTGGGGAACGCCAAGATTCTGCACGGCAGAGACAGTGTCTGTGCCCCGTCTGGTGACCGGGACAGGCTGCTGCCTCCTGCACAGCCCGGGTGTGGTCACTTTCTTCCAACTAAGCAGTCCAAAGCTCCACACATCCATCCTGCTTTGAATTGCTGGAGGGGCCTCTGGCCTGAGCATCAGCACACCTGGGCTCTCACTTTGACCCTGCCATTAACCAGGTGTCCTGTGACCTGCTCTGAACCTCTTGGATCCTCCAGCGTCATCAGGGCCGACCACACGGCCTCTGAAACCTCTTTCGGTTCTAAACAGATACGGTTCTTTGGGGAGAGATGGTTGGCTGCAGAGATGCGAGTTACCTGGTCCCTTCTTTACTGCGGGGAAGGAGGAGAATTGGCTGCTCTAGCCATTGCTCTGTTAGCAGAGGGGTGTGGAGGGCCTTGAGAGAGAGAACGTTCCTCCTAGTTTGTTTCCAGAAGCCTTACTCACACCTCAAATAGTGAAAATTACCCTCCTCTTCCGTGGTCTTCCCATTCTATTCAATGTGTCTATAACCTAAAGAATCCAGAGTATTCCTCTCTCGCCTCAAAGATTTTTGGAATCATTTCTCTTTCCTCCTGCCCATTTCTGTTACAGGAAAGGAAGCAGTGAGCACTTGGCTCTTATTAACTAAAGTCCTTCTGCTAAAGACTGTGAAGGTCCAGGGCTGCATATCCAGTGGCCATACGGTGGGTCCGGCGGGTCCACACAGACTGTGTTCTTTAGTTATGGTGCAGAAGAGAGGACTGACTGTCACCTGGTGACCATGGCTGAGGCTCCAGAGTCACTTTTGCTAAGCTCAGATGAAGAAGAACAGGCCCTGGGCCACTTCTGGACATTACTACAATGGCACAAGGATAATGAAATTCTCTGTTAGTCTGTTAATTTATGACACGATGATGTTGGCATGGAAAATCCTCCTTGCAGAGCTGGAGACAGCGATGTTTAAAGCCGTGGATTTAAGGATGTGTGTTTACCGTCCAATAAGGATTTACTTAAAAAGTGATTCTTGGGCTGGGAGACGTTTGTTGATTCATGTTCTGCACAGAAATGAAGTCTGTTTTGATACTGATTTGTAGATTCCAAGCTGGGGAGATGATTAAGCCATTTAAAGATCACAATTAAATGCACAAAAGGCTTCACGCAGTCAGGGTCTTTGGGACTATTTCCCTGTGAGTCTTCTTCACCATGACATGAAGCCACTGTTGGCATGGTCAGTGGGATGGATAGGAATGGCCATCTGGACGCCTTACTCCTTGTACTCACTGTGCAGTCAAGTGTGAACCGTGGCCTGGCCACTCCCTTTGACCATCATCTCCACTGTGTTGGAGATTTACCTTTGTCAAGTAAGGAAATACGGTATATTTTTCTCCAAATAAATTTATTTTTGTCATACCATATAACACTACTGTCCTCTCTTAACATCTGCCCTGTGAAAGATTCAGATCCCACTTCTGTTAACTAGCTGGTCTCCAAAGGGATTACCCATGTTCTTAAACGCAGTGAAGAAGATACAGGGGCCAGTCTATAGAAGGGAATCAGTGCATATTTATGATGGTGACGTGAGCATCACTTCGTGCCTAGACTTACTTCATACTTGAGCTGTCTTGGGGGTCAATTATTTTGAAGTTGTTGGTGAGGAGTAGACTCTGAATGAAGCAGGGCCCTCCTTCCAGGGCCACCTTCTCTTTCCCTGGCCTCAGCTGTGCCCCTCACCTGCACACACTTCCTGATTTTCCTTCCTGGGCCCCCTTCCCATCCCCTCACCCCCACTCTTACCTTTCTGTGTCCGCAGCACTTGAGGCCAGGAAAGCCATCCAGTTAATATGGTTAGAGTTTGTAATGGAGTAAATGACGTGTGTCTACACACAGAATACTCTGTTCAAATTACCATTTTAAACTTCTCTTTCATTTTTTTTTTTTTTTTTTTTTTTGCCAAAAATGTCAAGAGTTACATTCAATTTTTTAAACCAAGGATCATTAAACTGGTGGTTCTGGGATCATTTACATGACTCTGGAGTCAGGTATGTAATTAGAGAACTTATTCACTTCGGAGTATATTCTTCTATACTTCGTTTTATCTCTGACCGGAATTGCCGTGAAAGCCTCTCGCTCAATCTGCAGCCGTCTCTGCCCTTTGGATAGAGGATTCCCGACGATCTCCCACGTCTGGGTTATTCTTTTATTCCTTTCGTTTCCACGTTTCCTTTCGTTTCTTTTCCCTCCAGCTGGACAAAACCCTTTCAGGAAGAAAAATCTTCAAGCTCATCCTGCACGTGTGGAGATATTGTTTCCTCCCCCTTTACCGATTTTAATGATTGTCCCTTTACCTGCGGTGCTTGTACTTTATGAACGATGTCATCTCACAGACACATGCCAGTAGCTACCGCTAGGAGCAGGTATTGTTCTCTCTTACCCCAGGCCTCCCCTTGGACAGTTCAGTTCGAATGTTAGGAGGTACGTTCTTTCTGCTTGTGGGTTTCATTCTGGGATCTTCCACCTTTGTAGAATTTACCTCCTTGGCTTCTGGTGACACAATCAAAGCCACATGCAATATCCTAAAGCCAGTTGACTTGGGCAGTAGGAAAGAGCCGGGGCAAGGGGGACACCTAGACAGACCCGAGTTAAAAGCAGGAGCTTATCCTGTAGCCTTGAGGCCCTGGGAAGTTCCTTTCTGCCTCTAAGTGATGGTAAGAAACGCCAACACACTGATATGGGCGTTTAAGTCACACGGCTCCTGCAAGGCCTGGCACTGAATTGATACCTGACCCATCTTTCCCTTTGATTCTCTGCCATGATGGTTAAGTGGGTTCCATGGAGCCAGAGAATAGTGCAAAGATTAAGCGCGTTACTTCTGCAACCCGTCTGCCTCAGCTTATCTCCCTCCTACCACTGTCTGAGTCTCCAGGGGCAGGTCACACTGTACCTCGGTTTCCTCATCTTTAAAATTAGGGGATCGTGAGTATTAAAGGAGTGAAACATAAAGAGCCTAGCATAGGGTAGGACTTTTAAGTGCTCGGTGAATATTGGCTTTTAAAAATGCTTTTCTGGCACGGTCTACCAATGTGCAAATGTGTTGACCTGGGCCAGCCAGGGAGCTCTCTGTTTTATAGAGGTCCCCACACACTTTTGGCGAACTTAGTTATGGGTAGGACTTACGCGTAGAAAAGTCCCACCCCATCCTGGTGTGATTATCAGTTCACCCCTAAGAAGTTCACCCTTAGACATGCAGAAGCAGCCTGAATACCCTGCCGCTAGGGAGACAGCCGTCAGTCCTGATGGAAGGGAAAAGGTTCCGCAGGTCGACAAGCTGTCACAAAACCCCAGTCCTGCCCCCGGGCGAGACCCTCAGTCTTCTAGGAGCCTACTGCCTTAACCAAACTCATCAGAATGCGCGCAGTACAGGCCAGCCCCTTCTCAGACCATTGCCGATCCAAGGTGGTGAATGCAAAAGGGTGGGAGAGGGAGAGGGTGTTCAGGAAACCTCGTGAGATTCCAGTCGCTGCCCCCAACTCCTGCTGACAGCCTGTACTGCAATGATGGTGGGGGGGAGCACTGACCAGTGCTTGGAATCTCAGCTTTATGAAAAGCACAATAGCCCAGCCTTTGGATCTAGGGGCAAACAGTCACCTTTTTGGACCTGAAGACCTTTGTGCAAAAATAGCCCAGCACTATCACTGGTGTTCCGAGGCCCTATAGTTATTGAGAAAGCACAGCCAATAAACCACTGCCATGGCCTTGGCCGCAGAGGTTTTCCTGACAATAAGAGAGCTGTGAGGCTTCCAGGTACAATTCCAGACATCAGAGCAATTCACTTGTGACAGCCACAAATTGCTAGACCTCATTTTACCACTAATCAGTTCCATTTTTATGTTCCTGAAACTTGGGCACATTTTATTTTGCTTTACTCAAAGCTGGTACATCTCAGCCCTGTAATTGCCCCCTTCCTGCCTGTCCACAGAAGATACTTTCCAAGACCCCAGAGAATGCCTGAAACCACACTCAGTTCTGAACCTGCACAGGTCGACCCTCCCTAACTTGAAAACCCAAATCCAAAATGCTCCCAAAGCTGAAACTTCTTGTAGTGGAGTCATGTGATGGGGCACAATCAAAACGCAGGAAAAAAGGTTCATGCCCCAAATCATTAAAAATATTGTTGGGCGGCCTCTGTAGCTCAAAGGAGTAGGGCGCTGGCCCCATATGCCAGAGGTGGGGGGTTCAAACTCAGACCTGGCCAAAAACTGCAAAAAAAAAAAAAAAATATATATATATATATAGAGAGAGAGAGAGAGAGAGAGAGAGAGAGAGTATAAAATTTCCTTTAGGCTATGTTTATAAGATATATATGAAATATGAATGAATTTCATGCTTAGCTTTGAGTCCTATCTCTAAGATAGTTCATGTGTATGAAAATGTTTCAAGACGCCCCCCCCCCCGAAAAAATCCCAAATCTGAAACACTTCTCCATTGGCAATAAATGTGCCGCAGATAAATCCGCTTAGCTACCTACCACACTGCCACTGAGCAAAGCTAAACATCTGAAATGCTTCTCATCCCAAGCTCTTTGGCTATGAGAGACTTGACCTGTGCATACTATGTTTTTCCTACATATACACATAGGTTTGATAACATTTGACTTATAAATGAGGTTTAATTACAATTATAAAAGATTAATTACAATTATAAATAGAACAATTCTGATAATCATAATTATGTGAGGGCAGTCTCTCTTTTTTTCCTCAAGTTATCTCATGGTGTTGAACTCACCCTTCATGTGATGACGGGAGATGATAAAATGCCTACGGGATGAGATGAGGTGAGGTTAATGATGCAGGCGTGTGACGGAGGGCAGGTTGCCGTGGACCTTCTGATGCTCCATCAGGAGGAGGATCATACCCCACGTGATCTGGATCCACTCTGACGTCCGCAGGTAGATGTCAGGAGCTGCTGACAGACAGACTGAAGCCTACAGAGTGTGGATCACTGGACGGAGGGACGATGGTCGTCCCAGGCTGGCTGCAGTGGCCCAGGGTGAGATTTCATCATGTCAGAGAAGCGTACTATTTAAAACATATGAATTGTTGATTTCTGAACATTTCCATGTAATTTTTTCAGTCCTCAGTGGATCTCAGGTAAGTGAAACCACAGAAAGCCAAACTCTGGGTAAAGGGGGGCTATGTGCATATGCTGAATTCCAGTGACACTGGGGCTTTCTCTGCCAAGCAAGTACTGAGAGTGGAAAAAGCACGCAGGGAGTGGTCCCTGGGGAGTGGTCATCACAGAGTAGCTCACTGCCATCAGGCACTTCAGGAGGGACGGTCAACAGTGGAGATGGGACAGGAAACGGACAGCTGCTTGTGTGGGAGGCCGTGGGGGTGCCTCTCCTTCCCTCCATCCCAGGTAAGATGTTCCCGGCGCTGGACAGTGATGACGCTCAGGGCCTGCTTCCTGGCTCTGTGACCTGTGGGTTCTCAAAGAACCCTGCACGTGGCCTAGTGGTCGGCCAACACAGTCCTTCAATTTTAACACTACTTCATTTTTTTTTTTTTTTTTTTGACAGAGTCTCACTCAGTTGCCTTACTACACCTACCTCATAGCAACCTCAAATTTGGGGCTCAAGCCACCCTCTTGCCTCAGCCTCCCTAGTAGCTGAAACTACAAGTGCCTGCCACAACACCCGGTTATTTTTTAGAGATGGGGCTCACTTTGGCTCAGGTTGATCTCAAACTTCTGAGCTCAAGCAATCCCCCTGCCTCAGCCTTCCAGAGTGTTAGGATTATAGTTGTAAGGTACCGCACCTGGCCACTGCTCCATTTTTAAGTCATTACGCCCCCCCAGGTTACATAGCTAATCCTGATAAATATAGAACTTGATGATTAAAGCATGGACTTCTAAGAAAATGGCTGAACTTTTTAATTTAATGAATGGGGCCAGGCATGGTGGCTCCCACCTGTAATCCTAGTACTTTAAGACACTGAGGTGGGAGGATCACTTAAGGCTAGGACTTTCAGATGAGCCTGGAGAACATGGTGAAACCCTATCTATACAAAAAAATTTGAAAATTAGCCAAGCACAATAGCCTGTGCCTATAGTCTCAGCTACTCAGGAGGCCAAGGCAGGGGAATCTTTTGAGCCCAGGAGTTCACGGTTGCAGTGAGCTGTGACAGTGCCACTGTACTGTAGCCTGGATGACAGCAAGATCTTATCTCAAAAACAAACAAACAAACAACAAAAACCCTAAATTTATAAAAGGAAAGCAAGAACTTGAGTTGGAACTGCAACTGCTTTTTTAGAAAGTAGACTTTATTTTCTAGAGCAGTTTTAGGTTCAGAGTGACACTGAGAGGAAGGTCCGGAGCGCTCTG